TTAATTCTTTATGTATGTGAAATTACAAATGTATAAGTCTGTATACATCTGTATAGTGATTGTGTTATGAGTGCCAAGAGTATATAATCACTACGTTTTATATGAGTGGTTTGAAAGTGGCTCGAAATGGTTCATTTAAATATACATACTGCTGGCGCGTCACTCTATTCTTTTCCGAACTGCCTTTGTCTTTGCCGTGTGTCTAAATAACCAAATCGATGATATAGAACACAACAGCGCCAATATTGGGAAATATCCTGTACAGCGATCGCTGACCCACCTGGTGAGCGGTTTTGAAGGATTCCTTACAATGGGAAAGGCCCATGCACAGTAAAGGACTAACGACTGTTAAAGAAAACAAAAGGTAATCCTTTTCCTTCTAATATAAACCTTTATAGATTTTTCATATTGATTAGGCTCAATTAAATACTTGCTGCCACTACACTATACGTGGCTGGCAGTACTATATGTACTAGATAGCCTCGTACTAGATATGCGAAGTGTAGCGCGTCCCGCACTAGATTTAGTGACGACCTGATAAGACTTGCAGGAAGTCGCTGGATGCAAGTGGCTCATTACCGTACTTTGTGACATTCCCTGGGTGAGGCCTGTGTTCTGCAGTAGACTTGTGAAGGGCTGTAATAAAAATGAAAATACTTCCACTTAAAAGACAAATATCACTCAGAAAAGACATAATAGTCCGTTGTACAAAAACGCTCCTAGTTGCGCGCAGCTCTCGTGGCCTCAGGTGCCGCGTACGTTGAATGGCGATCGTTTATCAAATATTTGCTAAATGAAACCCGACCCGAGAATAAACAACGCTAGAAATTTCCCCGATGAAATATTTAGAGCAAATCTAACCGGCGGCCGAGCTGAATAAAAGATTCGCTGTAGCATCGCCGCTTCGCTCAATATTTTTATTATCTTTTACCTACCATACTGAGTATGTCGGCAAATTACTTTTTTAAATTATTTAAACAAAATGAATATTTCCCAGTAACGACTTTACGGTATAAACAGGAAACACACAGGTAACAGTTAAAAGTAAATACAAGATAACCGATAAGACTTTCGAGGAATGCCCCAACCGTAATAGTGAGGTGGGGAAGTAGGGAGTGGCGTGACACACTCGTATCTCTACACATGTTGTTTACCACAAGTTGCTTTCTTATTATCAAAATATCTTGCTCTATAAATTACTAATCCTAATCCTAATAGTAAAAAAGAAAAAACTACGATTGCCAACCCGCCTGCCAAGCGTGGCAACATGGCAAATATACCCTTTGTAAGGCAATTTTAGAGATGACCTATGTTCAGCAATAAGCTTTGATATGCTGTAAGAAATTAGTTAATTTAATTATAATAACTATGGTTTTGCTTGGCATTAACTCACTATCTAGTCAATTAAATGCATCGAATATAGGTTACCCACTTATATATACAGATAGTTCAGAACCGCCATCAAACCTACATCACATAAACCACTTCTTATATGGACGACATAAAATTGTATGCCGAGAACTGGGAATATTTAAACCAACTCGCAAACATAACTGAAAGCGTCTCACTGGATATAAGTATGGAGCTTGGGATTGAAAAATGTTAAATTTATTCAGTTAAATCAGGCCAGCTGTATAGACACGATTACTAAACTCAAACTGGGCAAATGATAAGCTCACTTGATGAACTGGAGACGTATAAATGTTTAGGCTACCATCAATCGAAATTACCACATTATAATGAAATGAAGTGAACATTAAAAACAACAATTTAAACACAGACTAAACTCGATTTTAAAGACTAATCTTTATGCAAAAAATATAAAAAGCATCAAGCCGATACTAACTTATTCATTTGGAGTGATAAACTGGACTAATTTGTACCTCAAGTATATACTACGCTTAATAAATACGACAATGACGAAACATTGGAAGCATCACCCCCAATCCTGTGTACAGAGAATGTAGTGTACATAGAATTGAAGGAGGTAGGGGTCTTATAGATATTACAAACCTACACAATTCACAGATCTTCAATCTTCGAGCATACTTCTATAATAGAAACTCAACACATCATTTTACGTGATAGAGCCATGCTGTAGCTACGAGTATATTAATAGTATAGTTGTAGCACGAATGGGTCGGCTCGACCGGGGAAGGACCATGCTCTCACAGAATACCAGCGTAAAATAGCAGCTTAATGCTGCTGTGTTTCGTATGGTGAGTGTAGAGAACCGGAGACCCATTTTATTGGAAAAGAGACATTCGATCTTAGTCCTCACAGCTGACAAAGTATCTGCATTTTAATTCGCAAACGAATATAGATGTCGATGTCTATGGGCCACAGCAACCGCTTACCATCAGGTGGACTGTATGCTCGTTTGTCATCCTTATTCTATCATTTTTTCTAAACACATGCCGAATTGTCAGAAAATTTAGAAGTTATACTCCTTTTGGGGCGTTTGGGAATATTTATGCGAGTGAATATTTATAACGCGCGCGCACACCGATAATTAAAAATGACACCATGAAGTTGTTACGATGCACGCGGACACTGACACCTGAAAGCGACAACTTCATTGGGTAACTGTTTCTTAGGTTTTCGTGGGAACTGATAACTATATTTAAGGTAGTTGTTTTTAGTTACATACATAAGTACGCACACACGTTTTTTTTTTTGCAGTGTGAACAGATAATATAACAATAAATATGTAGACTTCAGTTAGCTTAGGCCTGTGAGCATCTTTGTTCCGGTAGTCATGCCGAAGGTAAAAAAGTTACCTTTACAATTATAATAATAATTAAAATTAAATTATGGAATTAAACACCTACAGACAGAAGAAGGGAAATAAAGGACTTTATTATACATATTCTAAGAGGTATCTGTTCTTTTCGATAAACACAAAGCATCTCTTAAACTTTGCCAATAAGAATGACTATATTATCTAAGGATTCAAAGGTTACCCTTTGGAAAGGCCGAGGAAAGAAGAGACAATCCTTATCTAGTACAACAGGAATTAATATGGTATCGGAATGCCATACATACAATTCAGTGCCTCTAGACAGGAGCGAAGTGATCCATTGTCTTATTACAGACGCAGTGAATTTGGGATGGATTGCGCATTTTACCAGAAGAATGCTCACGGCTCCAAAAAGATTTGGCATTCAAATATCGAAAAACTGTTTGTCGTGTATTGTATGATCAATCCTCAGCGTGCAAAGCACACATTCTCGTCCAGTACAACACCAAAACCTTGGTGGCGCATATAAGAAACGAGGAAAGGACTCGCTGTCTAGCTCTGCTAGAATTAACATTAAAGCTAATTGAGTTAACCAAATACCTGAACGTCAAACTCCGGCTGCCTTTCGAGAAATTGACCTATGCCGGAATTAAATTTGTTTCCCACGGCATCGGAGGCCCTATTCAGAATATGTGGCGCTCCAAAATTGAGCTCATTGCGTCTAAAGAAACTGCTGCCGTGGACTAGTACATAGTAGTACCGCAATAATGTTCAAAAACACACACTCACAATATTTAGAGCTTCGATCTTAGAAGATTGCGAGAAGGCCAATAAAATGGTACTCTAGTCATCAGAGGAAAAAGATCTATTAGAGAAATTAACGAAAATCAACAATATTAACATAAAAGGCTCCTCTTCGTCGATGAGCATAGTGTTTTGAGTTTCATAGTGTTAGTTCAGAAACTCTTATAGGGATTGATGTAACTAGATTTTTGGAAAAATTCTTCCTCGAGAAAGAGCCATTATCTAATCCTCCTTGAAGTTTCTGAAAACAGCTTTATTGTAAGTTTGACTACCTCGTTGTTTTGTTGTAAGCACAACTGCTAATCATGTGGTCCTAGTCCTGGAAAATCTCAAGTCGGGTCAAAATCAATTTGTTGGGTGTTTCTGTCAAGACATTTCCAGTAGTAGTCTCTCCGGCCGTGCTATATTTCCGTTACATCAGACTATGAGACTGAAGGAATAGTGTATCTGTGCTTGCGCATACACTCGTACGCTATAATCCTATTTTGTATAGATTGCTGGTCTCTGTAGAAACTGGCCGCCGTGGCCGTAGTTCGGTATTATATTGTAAGTCAAGTTAGTAAAGAGATAAGGTATTTAGTCTAGATTTTGATCGAAGAAAGATTAATGAGATTTTAGTGCAGATAACAAAGGATTCGAATAGTTATTATTGAAACAGCACTCCGATGAACACTTGTTCTCATGAGGTTAATAACAAAAATTCTTCTTTAGCATCTTTTTTCGTTTGTTTAATTTAATTGTGCTGGCTGTTAACACTACAGCAAGCTTTCTTTTTTTAATGTTTGGTCAAACTAAACGCTATTTTAAAAGTCGTGTAACTGCGGCGACTTTGCTTCTGAACTGAGTAATGATCCTAAATACAGTGCAGTGTAGTCAAGAACTTTGCTTGCTATCTTCCTAAATTAAGTGTAGTAAGTATAATATGCCGTTAAAGTTCCGATCATTAATGTACTTAAAACATAGTGATTTTAGATATACTCTTTGCTACCACTGTAGTGATTCTATACTCTTTGCCTCTACAACTGTCACATTGTCAGAGTATTGTCAGGAGTTTTGGCGGGAACTTGACCGGCGGCGGTTTGCTGCTCCTGTATTATAGTTTAAATAATAGTTTGAGGTGGATTTTGATATGTAAAAGTGACGCAATTTTATGTATTAACTGTCTACGCATGTGAACTATTAGTGGAAACGGTGAAACAAGTGCTCTGAAGGTGATGGATTCTCAAGATAAGCTGTTTATCTGCATAGGCACCTTTAGATACCATCGCCAACTGTCAGCTGTCTGCTGGCTCAAGTAGCCGCCAAAATCTCCCAAGGGCTGCACAATGTGACGCATCAACATATTGTGTAGCAGTGAACTATGAAGGATAATATAAAAAAGACAAGGCTGTATGGCTTAGTTCCTTTGCCTGCTCTCTCGAGCGAATAGTAAAAACAACAACAACAGTGTATTGTCAAATGTCAATTGTGAAATCAAAATAAACTGTCAATGTCATGTTATTTCAGAAGATCCATTCTGAAGAAAATATTTTGATCCAATCCTAAAATATAAATCTTACAAAAACGATTGCATTTAGTACTTACTTGGTGAACCTTGGTCAACCTTGGTGTGCTACGTAATGGTTTGTTAATATTGATTTGTTTAAGGGACCAAGGTTAAATCGCCATCATGAATAATATAATACCATGGACCGGAGAAGATGATGCCGTCATTGCCACAAACACTGATGCTACAGAATGTAAGAGGAGCGCCGTCGAACTGGGTTACTGGAAAGATGATTACATCGTATACTTTGCCAAGCATGTTGATAGAAAGGCCCCTGAAATTAATCGCGGCTACTACGCCAGAGTAAAGGCAATGGAAATGTTTATCCACCAATTTTTAGAGGTAATAAGCTTTGTGAGCTTTTGATAATCTAAACCTATGATTTACAATAACTTAAACCATGTCATGTAATAGTTTTTCAAACATGCTTTCTGACTTCCAGCGCTGCGGTACTAAGTGCCAAATCATTAACTTAGGATGTGGTTATGATACATTGTACTGGAGGTTAAAGGACACAACACAGGCAGTTGGAAATTTTATTGAGTTAGATTTTCCTTCAGTTACTGCAAAAAAGTGTCACATCATTAAAAGGAACAAACAGTTACTGGAGAAAATTTGCAATGAAGGTAGGAAACTAGTAGCTCTCCTCTCACCTTTCATTTTTGCAAGTTACAGCCTATATACATGCCACTGCAATGAACAGGTATCCTCTGACTACTAAGAGAGTAATTTTTGTAAATATCATAAAAAATATAAATGAAAGTCTGCTATAATATTATTTCATTTGAAATTTTTCAATATATTATACTTATTTATGGAATGCAAATGTAAAATATAGTAGATATTGAAATCTGGCCTATTTTTAACAAGATTGATCCAGCACATAAATTGTATGCAATCTTGCAAGATCAACAAATATGCAACAAATATTGCTTACTTTCAATGGTGCCTACAAGTGATGAATCAGAAAGGGCACTTTCAGCTGCAGATTTCTTAATCTGTAAAATTAGAAGCCACTATGATGAATGATACATTTGACACATTGTATTTTCTTAGAAGCAAATTTTAAAAGAATGGTAGTAAAGTAGTTTTATACGTGGTAGAGCCATGCTGCATCTATATTATGGTTGTAGCACGAATGGGTCGGCTCGACCGGGGAAGGACCACGCTCTCACAGAATACCAGCGTAAAATAGCAGCTTAACGCTGCTGTGTTTCGTATGGTGAGTGTAGAGAACCGGAGACCCTTTTTACTGGAAACGAGGCATTCCATCTTAGTCCTCACGGGTGACAACGCATCTGCATTTTGACTCTTAATCGAAGATAGATGTAGATGTCTATGGGCCACAGCGACCACTTACCATCAGGTGGACTGTGTGCTCGTTTGTCACCCTTATCCTATAAAAAAAAAAAAAAAAAAAAAAAAAAAAAGTAAAACCGAAGTCCTTTTTAAATTTTTTTGTTACAATTACACATAGTAATGGAATCAAAGTAGAACAATGAGCCTTGAGTACATACTCAAGGCTCATTGTTCTACTTTGATTCCATCTTATAACCCTTTACAACCAAAGTAAATAATTTGCTCAGACTTTTTTGAACTTTTTCATGGGTACCTAAGTATCATGTAAAAAATAAATAAAAAAATCCTGAAGTCTCTGGTTTCCTGAAAACTTACCCTCATGATTGTCGGGATTAGGAGGTAACTCGAGATTTGAGTTTTATGTAGTTTGGGAATATAATTTGACCTTAAACGAAAGTTTAATGAATTAAACAGTCTTTTATTCATTTAAAATTATTGGACATTAATTAACGAGTAATTAATAAAAAATAATTAAACATTTAGTGTATTTTTTTGTCAAAACTATTAACAGTCTTATTAAAAAACTAAAATATTTCTTCCTTATTTAGGTTATTAATCTTTTTTTGGTATAAACTTATAAAAATCAACACAAAAATTACCTTAAAGTACTTAAACCTAGTTTGAAATCACATGATATCTTATTCTTTAGTAATAGTGAGCATGTTTTGCATAATTAACATGAAAAAAATAAGATTGAACTAGCGCTTGTGAAAACCTTTGAAACAATTTTTGTCACGAGATAAACATAGATAGACGTTGCATTTCTCGTATTTTATCTTAGACCGACTGCCACAATCTTCCATACTACAGGTGCTCTATTCCTTAATATCATCAGAGACAGGTAGGTGATCGTAACCGTCATATGTTTTAGCTGTTGAAGGCATGATCACAGGCTTGTAGATTTTCAAGGGCTGAACGTTGAAGTTGCTGTGGTTCAGGCTCATCTTCCCTGCACTCTTTCTGGTAGACACTTCAACTAGTATAGTAATATATAGTACTAGCGTCATTTAGACATTTAAAAGAAAGTCTAGTAAGGCCATTGTATCCTACCGGCGGTAAACTTTAGCTGTGCAGTCGTTTTTATAAAGTCTCCACGTGTTTGCACACACGAGATCTACAAAATGTACTAGAACTTTAAGAGTACATTTTCTGGTTTTGACGAACATCCTGTAATAATCTATTTGTTGATCCAGGACATCCAATAATGAGAATTACGTCACAGAAATAATCGATCAGAGAACGAAATTTATTTACTGGAAGTGGAGTGTAATCATGAACTTCATCTGTATAGACAGTTTCTACCCACACTCTCTCACCTGTCCCTCTTCTTCCACTACCCTGTCCTTTTCCTCTAGCTTGTCCTCTTCCTCTAGCGTGTTTTCTTCCCGTAATCCGCCCTCTACTTCTTGCACTGGTCATCCTGCCTGATCTGCATCCTTGAGTAGATCCCCTGCTTCTAGATGGTGTCGAGATAGGTGGTGGTGCCTCATCTACTTCAGAGGACTAGTCGGTAGAACCAGACCCACTCTCCTCTAGGTGGTCTAAGGCCCTTTCCACTATATCCTCGTTTTCATCGGCAATTTCCCAGTCATTTCTATCTGCCAATATTTGTGCAACGTGGTCATCCTTGAGGGTTAGTCCTTAAAATTAAAAAAAAACCCTTGTTGAACAATCAGATACAGGACAATGTTTAGGTACAAAAAATGTATGAAAATCTTTTTAGGACGTACCACCTAACCTAGACTATCGTGCGTCCTTGATTTTGAGTCACAATATACGCCTAACAATATACGACCAATTACATACATATAGGTTTAAAACAACTCTAATTTAAGTAAATAGCGCAAACAGAACAATGAAAATTGCATTAATTTGATGAAAAATAAATTACCCGGACGAGTTCGCGCGCCAAAAAACGCAGCCATCCTTCACTGTGGTTAGGGGCGACTGACAGATTCAAACTGGTTCGCAAGAGGCCTGCGCGATTTTTTTCCACGAAAAGGATAGTCTCACGATCGATCGAGGCCGGTTGCGTCTCGAAAAGTCGATTAGCGTACGCGCCAGAATTTTTGAAAATCAAGTCTCACGATCATTTCAAGTCGGTTGTAAAGGGATAAGATGGTTAATAATTAAAAAGTTTATCATTGTTTTTAAATTAATGTTTTGATATCTCCTTATATTTTCTTTAATTTTCTCAAATGTTTAATTTACTGTTAAGGATTTTACTATATACCTTATTACCTCCATCTTCGATTGCTCGTACTGTTAGTATGCCGATGATATTGATAACTTATCAGCTATCAAAGATTGGTTATGGAGTTTCAATCAATCAAAATCAAAAGTGTCAGTCCTTTGAAAAGCCAAGTTATACTGGTGGGTAGCTCATAGTCCACATACGCCAGATATGGTGGCAAATTGTACTCTTCAGACTTCTGTACAATTTGCCGAAGGGTATGTATGTGGTCTATGGTGTTAAAGCCCTTTCGGAAACCGGCTTGTTCGGCAGGCTGGAAGTCGTCAAGTTTGCGCGCGAGACGATTCGTAATGACTCTCGAAAAGAGCACGTAGACGCAGCTCAGAAGGGAAATCGGTCTGTAGTTCTTCAAGAGAGCGTTGTCACCTTTCTTGAAGAACAAGACAGCCCTTTTTACTGGAAATGAGGCATTCCATCTTAGTCCTCACGGGTGACAACGCATCTACATTTTGATTTGTAATAGAGGATAGATGTAGATGTCTATGGGCCTCAGCAACCACTTACCATCAGGTGGACTGTGTGCTTGTTTGTCACCCTTATCCTATAAAAAAAAAAAAAAAAAAACAAGACCACCGCATTTCTGCTCCACGCCTCCGGTGTAATGCCACCATGGAGTACGGAATTAAAGAGCTTCTGAAGGACTTCAAGTACCGGTCTTCCACCCGCTGTCAGAAGCGCCGCTGTAATTCCATCCTCGCCTGAGGCCTTGCCGTTTTTAAGGTGCTGGATAGCCATTCTAATATCGCTCAGACTGACGTCCGGGATATCTTCGGAATAGTGTCGAATAAGACTCGCTCTTGGATCGTTACTCACACTTGCGTGTGGCACCAACTATGACGTGTACAGCTACCCATAGAACCTCTCAATCTCACTCAAAATCTCAGGTGTCCCGGAAACGATGCTGCCACACTCGGTCTTCAGCTTTGACAGTTGGCTCCTTTCTAGCAGACAAATCTCTGGCAAAGACTTTGGAGCCTTGGTTCCGTTCGATCGCTTCTTCAATACATGCTGTATTGGAGTTGCGTAAGTCCCGCCGCATGCATTTGGAGATCCGTCTGTTCAGTTGCCTGTATGCTGTCAAATCTGTTGAAGAATGTAGCTTCATTTCCCGTCTAACAGCCATGAGATTGAGAGTGTGATCGGAGAGTTTTTATGTTCGTCTGCGGCGGGTCTTGCAGAACTTAGCTCCGTCCGCATGGACAGTTTCCACGAGCTTGTCATTCATATCGTCCACTTCATTGCAGTCTTCTAGACACTGAAAACGGTTTTGTAACTCGAGCTGAAAGGTTTCGGGTCTCTGGAACAGAGCACGAGGGGGACGGAGCGTTGACTTCATTAGACGAGACCTCTCCAACTTAACGTTTAGGTTCAGTGTGCCTCTAACCATTCGGTGATCGCTACCAGTTTTCACCCTCGCGATCACGGAGACATCACTGAACAGTTGTCTGGTCGTCATAATGAAATCAATCTCATTTTTTGTGGAACCGTCGGGGCTCGACCAGGTCCACTTCCTGTGGGGCCGCTTCTGGAAGATAGAGTTCATCATAAAGAGTCCCTCTTTCTCCATGAAGTAGGCCAGCTGCTGGCCCCTTGGGTTCGGTTGCCCTATTCCAAATTTCCCTACTTTCAGCTCACCGTTCTCTTGTGCCTAGTTTTGCATTGAAGTCTCCCATCAACACCGTATATTGGGTTTTGGAGGAATGCATGGCTCTAGAGATATCCTCATACATTTCCTCTACCTCCTCATCGGGGTGTGCCGAGGTTGGTGCGTAAACCTGTATGACCTTCAGCGAATACCGTTTGGTGATTCTGAGTATAAGGTACGCAACCCTCGTCGACACACTCTCAATCTTTACAAGTTTGTTAACGAGAGAATTATGGACGATAAATCCGACACCTCCTTGGGACAGATGGTCGCCCTCCCGGTGATAGAGCAAGTTGCCGGCTTCGAGGATTACCGTGTCCTCCCCCTCTCTTCGGACTTCGGATAATCCTATAATATGCCAGCGTAACTTGTCTATCTCTTCTTCCAGCTCCACGATCTTCTCGTCAGTCCTCAGGGTGCGTGCGTTGTATGTTGCCAAGTCGAGTTGTCTTAGGTGGCAACCGAACCTCCACCGGGGATTCTTAGCACCCCCTGCCTCGCCGTTACCATGGTCGCCACCGTAGCCAGGAATAGCGGGGCTGCTGGGGACTGGGGGCCGTCTCTTAGTAACTTTATCCATTTGGGGGGTATTTGCCATGGTTGCCACGCTTGGCGAGCGGGTTGGCAACCGCAGTTTCTTTTATTGTATTTTTGTTGTTATCAGGAAGATGCTGCTGCCCATCTCCTGCCTGTTTCCCTTTGTCGCCTTTAACGACACCCACGGGAATATATGGGGTAGTGGATATTCTTAACCGCCACTACACGGCATAATTATTTATTTGCATAGAATGTATGTATATATTATTTACTTTTATATTTTAATTATACAAAAGTATAATTAAACCATAAAATTTCTGTTATATTCTGCCTTACCGAAGCATGCAAATTTTGAATAGAGTTATAAATTTAAAAAAATACAATATTAATGATGAATTTTAGTGTATTATTATAATATAAAAATGCCCAATTAATAATAAAATAAATGTCAAAAGATTAATTACGAAAAATAATGTCACAATCGTTTACAAATATCAAAGTATAAAAATTCATATGTTAATACAGAAAAAATAACCAACTAAAAATTACTCTATAAAACTTTGTCACTGGGAAAATTTTAAACACAAATCGGGTAAATAATTAAAGATATTAATCACCTTATGTATGAATTTTTTGAAAGAACATCAATTTACATTTTGGAAGGTATATTCTGTAATTATATTTTTCTCATAAACTTGTATCTCTTAAAAAATTATTACTTAGAAAGTATTCAGAGAACTGCTTGACAAAAGTCGCGCTTTGTTTTATATACACACATGGGAGTGGTAGCGCTTACATTTCTTTAAATAATGCCTTGGACGATGCCATGGAGTGTGCTCCACAGATTGTTTCCGTGATGAACAAAGTCAAATGCTTTATTCATAACCAAAAAAAGAGCTACTAACGTTGCACTGAATAAACTTAACGAATTACAAGGTCGCTAATGTTGTGGATTTATTTTTAACAAAATCATTTTGTGCGTTATTACTTATATTACTATATTAAATTTTTCCATAAAATTATTGTCTCTTAAGTATTGCTTTTTCAAAAACTTTTGATAAACTTGCAACAGCTCAGTAATTATTAATAGCTTTAGCCTTTTTGAAGATCGGATTTACAATTGAATATTTGAGTTCTGCAAGAAATATTCCTTGGGCAAAAGATAACTTTATTATATGACTAAGTATTGGTGCTTTATTTATAGAACTTAGTTTCAATTTTTTTGTCGGTAACTCTTCATACCCCCGATTAACATATTACCGAATTAGTATTTCGAAGGGGTAATATAATTTGATTAATTTCATCAGGAGGTTGTGGGTCATAAGAATATAGTAGAGCTACAGAATTGTTTACACATACAATTATTCGACATATTCAGTTTGTCGAATGATGTAGAGTAGTTTGTTGTTTACGTGGTAGAGCCATGCTGCAGCTATATTATGGTTATAGGACGAATGGGTTGGCTCGTACCGGGGTAGGACCACGCTCTTACAGAATACCAGCGTAAAATAGCAGCTCAATGCTGATGTTTCGTATAGTGGGTGTAGAGAACTGGAGACCCTTCTTACTGGAAAGGAAGCATTCCATCTTAGTCCTCAGGGGTGACAATGCATCTGCAACTTGATTCTTAATCGAGGGTAGATGTAGATATCTATGGATCACAGCGTCTACTTACCATCAGGTGGACTGTGTGCTCGTTTGTCACCCTTATTCTTTTAAAAAGCTAACATTTCTGGACTGTATGTGCGCAGATGGGGAGGTAGTGATCAGGTCGGGGGACCTGCACTCGGACGGGTACCACCTGCTGGGCTGCGACCTGTGCTGCCTGGGCGAGGTGCGGCGCAAGCTGGAGGCGGGCGGGGCGGCTCGAGACGCGCCCACGCTCCTGCTGGCCGAGTGCGTGCTGGTGTACATGCAGCCCGACGCGGCGCAGGCGCTGCTGGAGCACTTGGCCGCGACGTTCCCGCGCTGCGTGCTGCTGCTGTACGAGCAGTGCAACCTGGGCGACAAGTTCGGCGAGGTGATGCTGCGCAACCTGAGCGTGCGGGGGTGCGCGCTGGCGGGCGAGCGGTACTGTCGGGAGCCGCAGGCCCAGGTGCAGCGGCTTCTGGGCGCTGGTTTCGAAACGGTGCGCAGCTGGGACATGGACACGGTGTGGCGCGCGCTGCCTGAAGACGACCGCGCGCGCGTTGAAGCACTGGAAATGCTGGACGAGCGCGAGCTGTTGCAGCAGCTGAACTCGCACTACGCGATCACTGTGGCCACGCGCGGCGAGCTCTTCGCAGACCTCGATCTCAACGCCTAAACTCGAACCTTCACTCCGGTATCTGTTGGGTCCGGCTCGATTTGTTTGTCATGTTTGTCGTCGTACAATTATGTAATCTCTAACATTGTCGTCCAATTACAAACTTTTATTCGATGAGCGCTTTGATGAAACCAGTGTATCCATATTTTTGTAAACTTATGAGCACAATGAGTATTAAGTATCCATTGCATTTATATCTCCATCACTATTATTGTCAGTGAAACCTTTGAAGTATTTCTTGTACTGGTAAAGTGTATATAGTCTGTGGAAAATCTCGTTTAGTGCATATGTTTGCGTTGTGACACCTTTAAAGACAATTAAACTTAATAACGTAGATCGTGCATACTACCATCACTTATGTTGTGTTTTTAATTGATTGTTTATTGTGTGATTATGTGTAGTATAACCAACTGGCCACCTTGAAAACAAGCTTCCCCTCGTCATAATGTTAAAAATGTGAAACTATATTATGTTATTCTTTCAAAGGTACCTAACCGTTTTAGAAATTAGAACTTTTTTGCAGCCATAAATGTATTTTTCATCAGTTCGGTAAACAAATTCAGTGAGTTAATATATTTGATTTATACTGTACTATTTTTTATGTTTTGTTAAATTTGCAAGTATTTTACAAATGACAAGTGTGTACTAGAAAGCCATGTTCGCCATTTTCTATCTTCAATTTTAATAGTTGTTACTGTGAATGTAATTTTTAAGAGATAAGAGAAAAACGTAAGAACAAGCTAGTGCGACACTGCGTTGTATATCAGATCGCAGCCGCACAACTGTCTAACCTGGTTGAGGTGTTTATACTTAACCATTTAACTACTTAAGTGTTAAATATTTATTTATTATATTAATAGATTAAAAATGCTGTATAAACGCCAAGTTTGTTTTATTTCACAAAGTAGCTATTTTTATTTAAAAAAAGATCACATCACAATCCAAATTCTATAATCTGAGGTCACGGCAGTGCTCCCGCCAAGTCGAGCAAACAAGCGGCACGGCCGTACCATCCTTTTCTCGAAGCAGTTCAGGTCATTTTCGACAACCTATAACTTCGTTGTGGATAAAACTAGAAGCCTGAATTTTCAGTAACCAAGCAAACATTATATAAACACGGTATATTTTAAATTTCATTCATTTTGAACCATTAGTTTAAGAATTATAACTAGTCAAAGTTTCTTAGTTTTGTCACTCACTGACTGTCCGATCAACAAAACTCTAAGGCACTTCTAGCAGACATAGAAGCTTCAAAGAGCAATGGCAGACTTTCATACATAAAATTAGTTGAGAAGAAATGGTAGCGTCTATATACCAAAAATATCTTAAAATGTTAAGCGTCAGTCCCTTAATAACTTTGTCAAAGAATTTTGTACTGAGAAGGCGTCAAAAAAAAGATATTTGCATTTGAACCTTTTTAGGTTATGTCCTATGTCGCTTGGAAAAAGTCATGCTTCCTGTGGTTGTTTGATGTTAGCTTAATACATAATACATAAATGAAAGTTTTTAGATTATTGTATCTCTATTATATATTTGCATACTATAAATGTATATTTCTGGCATGGCTCCAGGGCTTTTGTACCATAGTGACATTCTCAGAAGGGCTAGAACCCAGAGCCGTAAATACAGTAAAAAAAACAGTGACATTTTATTTTAGCTAGTGTTGGCATAACATTAAATGGAATTGTTACATAGTACTATGATTGAGATAATGTATTACCGTAGGAAATTCTTTGTAAGAGACTTATTCTCAGCCATATTACTTTTATTTTTGTTATTACCGATAGTACAGTTATTACTAATAATAACTTAATATAAAAATATTTTGTGTGTTGTGTTGGTAGTGTTACAAAGTGTATACGAAAATAGTAGGAATATACTAAATGGCAACATTTGAATAGAGTAAAATGATTTCAGTCATTTGATATTCCCAAAAATGTTTGTTTTTTTCTGTGGCTTTGATTAAAATACATTTTTATTTAAAAAATCATAGAAAAATAATAAAACTCATTTTATATATAACTTATTTCTAGACGCTATAATTTTTGTCAACTATTTTTCTGCCATTGCTCTTTAGAATACAATTAGCGTTTAGTGTATAAATCAAGGAAAAACTAAAATATTTTGCAATTTTCGTCCAGGTTTCTAGATACACCAACTGCATAATTAACTTTGTAATCTATACAAATAAATAAAATTGAAGTGTCTGTTTGTAATGTCAAAATTACAGCTTTTTACTAAATGCATATGCAAGTATATACCGGTACTAATAACAAAAATACAATTTTTAAAGTTTTTGTCTGTCTGTCTGTCTGTTTGTTCCGGCTAATCTCCGAAACGGCTGGACCGATTTTGACGTGATTTTACTGGCAGATAGCTGATGTCACAAGGAGTAACTTAGGCTACTTTTATTTTAGAAAAAGAATTAGGGGGCCGCGCAAAAACATTAAAAACCCAAATAACACGCGGGGAACAGCTAGTCCCATATAAATATATAGGATTACAAAGTTACATTTGCAGTGAATAAATCAATGTAACTGTATATTATGTATAACATAATAGAATAATAGGAGTAAATAAGTACCTTCACCCCTAAGGACCAGGATAGAATGTCTTGTTTCCAGTGAAAAGTATACTCGTCATATGAAACGGCAGCAAGGTTTTCTTTCTGTGTCTCAAACACTGTCTGCGTATATAACAATTCGCTTGCAAAGCGTGGCAAATACCCCCCCCCCCCCTCTCCCCCCTCCAGGTAATATATGGGTATATTCAGTGGACTTTGATAATCTAATGACAAGAAACTATTAAGTGCTCGCTTTAAATTTGGTGGCACGCAAAGAACAAAATGGTGAATTATCATATGTATATGGCGATGAAGAAAACAACGATACGAAGTCTGCATTAAAAAAAACAAGGATGTTAATTTTTCAATCGTAAATCGCACTTAAAAACATCACAAACATCCAGAACAGACCAACATTTGCTTCAGCATTTCGCACTGGAGTCGTCCAGTGGTGTACCCAGGGCAAACCCAACTTTTTTGTGTTTCCCGACGCTGACCAGGGTATTTTTTTCTGCCATTAATATACAAAAAGATAACTACGCCATCCTCCGGAAGCCATAAGAACTTTCTTGAAATTCCTCTTTTCGTTTCTTATTGCTGTTACCGTCTTACGACACAAATTACTCATGACCTGCCCCTATAGCTTTCAAATTCGACTTTTTAGTTTTGACGACGAATAACTTAAACTACGTGGACTCCCAGGCATTGATTTTAAAAGCAATTGATCAAAAAGCAGTGATGTTGACCGTGTAGTGGCGATTTAAGTATATTCACTACTCTATATTGTCCTGTGGGTGTCTTAAGAGGCTACAGAGCGAAACGAAGCAGAAGATGGGCAGCAGCATTTTGCTGATAATTACCGAAAATAATTAAAAAACTGCAAGCTCCTATCCGCCTGCCTAATGTGGCAACTATAGAAAATATACCCCCTTTGAGGCAGTTTATGGAGGAGGCCTATGTTCAGCAGTGGACTTTTAATAGGTTTTAACGGCAAGGGTTCACGATACGATGTACTTTTATACGCGTTTTGTGTTGGATAAGATAAAATGTCATAAAAATCTTTTTTGTATGCGCTCAAGGCGAAAATTATAGGTATACGAGGGCGGCACTGAAAATTTCGGGAATCAAGGAAGTGACACAACATTACTATTTAAAAATGTATTTATTGCTTTTTGAAGTATTCTCCGCGAAATTTGACACATTTTTCCATACGATGGAACCAATCATTGAAGCAACCATTCTATTCGGAAGTTGGGGTCTCCAAAATGGCCGTTTTGTAGGCGTCCACAGCTTCTTCAGACGATGAAAATCTCTATCCACGCAACTTATTCTTTATTTTAGGGAAAGTAAAGAAATCATTAGGGCTTAGGTCGGGGCTGTACGGCGGATGGTCTAATAATTCTATGTTTTCTTGCTCTAAAAACTCTTTTGTTCTGTGAGGTGTGAGAACTCGCATTGTCGTGATGGAGGATGATGCGGCGGTTGCAGTTCTCTTTACGGAGTTCAGAAACGACCTGTGGCAAACAAATGCTAACATACCATTCTGCATTAACAGTTCTTTGTCCCTCAAGAGGAATAGTCGTAACATGGCCGGTTTTGGAGACAAACGTGGCCACCATTTTTATTTTGCAACACTCCGTGAACGAACAATTTTTGTTGGCTTTAACTTATTTTCGAACACCCAAACTCGTGACTGTTTTTTTGTTTCGGGTTTGTACGCGTATGAATTTCGCGGTATATCACATGTCGATCTTCCTCAATCAGCTTACGCACAGCATCCAAGTTTTCTTGGGTGACTGCAGGTTTTGGACGACCTTGACGGAGATTATCACTGAGCTTGACACGTCCACGTTGAAATTCAGCAAACCAGCGATAAATTGTGGTTTTGGATGGGGCTTCTTCACCAAATGCAGAAATCATCCGGTCAACACACTGTTTTTGTGTTAAAACACTTCGAAAGTCATAATAAATCATCGCTCTTGAATTTTCTCGAGTCAATTCCATTTTCTCTAAACAAGTTTGATAAAACCTTGTGGCAAGACCGAGAATCTTTTTTTAAATAAATAATTGGTATTCGATTTTTAAAACCAAGGAGTATTCAATTAAAAAGATTTTAATATGACAGGAACAGTGGAAATATTCTATTCCCGATACTTTTAGTGCAGCCCTCGTAACTAAAGAAGCATCAACCAATGTCTGACGATTTTAAGGATTTTACAGAATTTTAAGTCATCAGCATACAGAAAACAATTGGAATGTAAAAAACATTTAGGAATACCGTTAATAAACATATTAAATAAAACTGGTCCCGACTGTGATTCCTGAGGAACTCAGGATGTGTTGGGAAATATATCGGAACTGAAAGTATTGACAACAAAAATATAATTTCAACCTTCTACATAAGAGCTAAATAACGAGAGCATGGTGGCAGAAAAACCGCAAGCTTCTAACTTTCTTAAAATCATAACATATATACTATAATATATACTCCGTCGAAAGTCTTTACTGAAATCAGTATAATATAACATGGCATGACTCTACTGAAATTAAGTCCCGCAAATGGGTAATGCGCTGGAACCTTGTCATATTAACATCCACGTGACGTCATCCGCAAATAAAAAGTACAGTGAACAATATTTTTTTTTAATTTATACTAATATTATTGATGTGAAATTAACTCTGTCTGTCGCTTTCACTTTTAAACCGTTGGACCGATTTTAACGTACATAGTTTCGACGATACGCAGGGAGTGATAGTGATGCTGATAAGCTACAAATAAAATCAACTATTTAAAAAAATTTCTATGTTTATTTTATTTTTGCATTTAAAACATTTAACCTAATTCTTCAACTCCACTCATATAATCTAAATCAGATATTGGTTCATGAGTCTATTGTCTCTGATTCACTATCATTCCTGTATTGATGTTAAATAATTCGTCTACACTTTGACGGTGTAGTGGGCGTGAATCCAGGTCTCATTTATATACAAATTACTGTCTTTTGCCATCGCCAAGTGAATTATTTTCCTTCACATCATGTCGCGTCGCGGGAAAAAAGGTTCTTGAGTGGCGGCCTTGTACTGGCGGATGAAGTGTAGGGCTTTCCCCCACTAGATGGAATGACGACCTGGTAAGACATGCAGGAAGTCGATGGATGCAGGTGGCTCAGGACCGTGCTTTGTGGCATTCCTTGGCGGAGGCCTATGTTCAGCAGTGGACGTGAAGGGCTGTAATGATGATGATGATGATGATATCATGTCGCGTAAATACATAGCCTTCCAAGCTTGAATATAAAATTTCTATTACAGTTTGCTTCGAAATAACTACATCCTCACTAGTGTCAGATGCATTTTTCAGGGATTGAGTTACATTATGTAGTAGTACCTTAGTGTCCTTTTACAAAATAATTGTCAACTTTAATTATAATTTCACAAGCACGGCTATTAATTATTTTTCTACTCATTTTGACACAAATATGATAACAATAACAAACAGAAACAGAAACTTTTTTATTCAATATAAATTATAAATAATACTTATTGAAAGTCACTCTTTTGTATAATTACCACTGGTTCGAAAAAAAAACCTCTGTCCAGGGGAGAACCAGCAAGAAACCGGGCGGGACTTTTTTTTAAATAACAGCTTACAATCATGTATGTTACACAAATTAACAACACAACAAATTTTAAATAGCTTGGTAGCGATCACCTCATTTCCAGGGGTTATTATCATCTATAAATTCTTTAATATTATAATAACTCTTTTTATACAAACTTAGTTTAATAAATTTTTGAACTTTGAGCAGGTCAAACTTTGTATATTTTCTGGAATTTTATTGTAACAGCGTATACATCGCCCCAAGAATGAATTACTGATTAGATGGAGTCGAGTAACTGGTACTACTAGCTTGTGTCTGTTCCTAGTATTTACAGAATGAATATCACTTATTTTTGTAAAACTACTTTTATTTTTGTGTACGTACATAACATTTTCATAAATGTATTGAGACAAAGTTAATATAATAATTTCCTTAAATTTTTATCGCAGTGACTCTAGGCTTTAAATCATAAATTGCACTTATGGCCCTCTTCTGTAAAACACATATAATTTCAGTGTCAGCTGCGTGTCCCCATAGCAAAATACCATACGACATTATGCTATGGAAATACCTAAAGTAAACTAGTCTAGCTGTTTCAACACTAGTTATACTTCTAATCTTTTTTACGGCATATGCTGAAGAACTAAGTCTGCTTGCTAGTTTTGATATATGGGGGCTCCATTGGAGCTTCGAGTCTAGTGTGATTCCAAGAAAAATGGTGGTATCTACAAGTCTCAGCTTCTCCCCATTTAAAATTACATTAGTATTTAATTGTTTGACATTTGGAGTCATAAATTTCATACATTTCGTTTTAGTGCCATTTAAATGCAAATTATTAACATTGAACCAATTTACTAATTTAGATATAGCATTATTTACTTCGTCATATTTTAGCAATTGTCGACTTAATTTGAAAATTAAAGAAGTGCCATCTGCAAATAATACTATATCATGGTTATCTCCTACTATGTAAGGTAAGTCATTAATGTATACAAGAAACAGAAAGGGGCCGAGAATTGAGCCTTGAGGCACGCCCATTTGTACTATCGACCCGGAAGAACTCATACTGTTAATGACAATTTTTTGCGTTCTCTTACTTAAATATGAAATAAATTAAGTTTCATAATTAAATTCATAAGAGCATCACTTCTTACACCGTAGTGTTGAAGTTTCCTGATTAATGTTTCATGGTGAACACAATCGAAGGCTTTGGATAGGTCACAAAATTGACCCAAAGCATCCTGTGAATTCTCCCATGCATTAAATATATATTTAATCAGCTCAACACAAGCATCAGTTGCCGAGCGACCCCTTGTGTAACTAAATTGATTTTTATGAAGTAAATTATTTATATTAAAGAAATTTAACATTTGATCAAGAATAATTTTTCAAAAATCTTACTAAGTGTTGGTAGTACAGAAATAGGTCTAAAATTGGCGGGGTCTAATGTACTACCATATTTAAATAAAGGTATTACTTTACTATACTTCATTAAATCAGGAAACACACCAGATTCGATACTAGTATTAAAAATAATAGCTAAATGAAGCACGATTGTATCTATTATAGACGCAATAACTTTAAAGGAAATCCCCCACAGATCCGCAGTTTTCTTAACATCAATAGTTTTAAAATATTTTACAATATCTTTGAAACAATAACAAAACAAAATTCGACATGCTGTGGGACAAGTTGAGGGACGCGGGTGTGCCGGCGGAGTACACGGCTCTACTAAGATACTGGTATGCTAACCAGCGTAACCAGGTGAGGTGGGTTGGAGCTCTGTCGGAAGAATACAGGCTGGAATGCGGTGTAAGGCAGGGTGGCTTAAGCTCTCCACTCTTGTTCAACCTGTATGTAAACCAACTGATTGAACGACTTAGCAGCACACATGTTGGCTGCCACATCGATGACATATGTGTCAACAACATAAGCTATGCTGACGACATGGTACTGCTCAGTCCTTCTATAGCAGGACTGAGGAAACTGCTTTCTATCTGCGAGACATATGCGGAGGAGCATGGCCTTAAATACAACTCAAAAAAGAGTGAAATATTAGTATTTAAGGCACCGAAACGGAAGCCACGACATGTGCCACCCGTATGTCTCGATGATTTACCTCTAAAAGTCGTACAGAAGTTCAAATATCCCGGTCATATAGTTACGAGCGACCTAGGAGATGATGAGGATATTGAGCGAGAGCGCAGGGCGTTGTCGGTAAGGGGCAATATGCTTGCCCGCAGATTCGCCCGGTGCACTGCAGACGTGAGAGTAACTTTATTTAAAGCGTTCTGTCAGTCTTTCTATACCGGTGGTATGTGGCTGACTTATACACGCCGGACCTACAGCGCCCTGCGTGTTCAATATAATAACGCTTTTAGAATGCTGTTGAAGCTGCCGTGGCGCTGTAGTGCCTCTAAAATGTTCGCACACTAATGACTTTTTCGCCATAATGCGTAGAAAAGCAGCGTCTCTCCTGCAGCGCTTACGTACCAGCAACAACGGCATCCTAAGGGTAATTGCTACCAGGCCCGACTGCCCCATACTGCACCACTGTATGATGGTAGCTATTGGGCGAAAAAAATAATTTGTACATAATTCACATTAACTAACAATACTAACTTACAAGTTAAGGAAAAATTGTTACTAACATATTAACAATCTATGGATGTTCCTTACGTCTGAAATAAACACTTATTATTATTATTATTATTATACGAGATAACTAGAAAAAATAACAATAAAAATGTGTGCGTTCACAATTCGGTATGCGTACTTGCCGGCCAGTGTTGTTAACGGTACTGAGTGTTCAATGTCACGAAATTACGTTAATAATATGTCGGCTAGGCGCATTAGCCATTTGCGGGGCTTATAACAATAAATCTCTATATATAAAAATCAATTGCTATCCGTTAATCTCGCTAAAAATCGAAAATGGCTGGACCGATTTTGATGAAATTTTATTTGTGTGTTTGAATGGAGTGAATGGTGTATGTTTGAATGAATGGGTCCCTGGATGATCTAAACGATTCACTATTGGACCCGGTAGGTGGCGCAGTTGTCAAGATCCAGAATTCAGCTTTAATAAAAATGAAGAGGAAAGACAACGTTCTAATGGAGCAAAAGTGTAAAAAAGAGGCTCATAAAATAAAACTAAAATTTTAACAAGTACCGTCTTGGATTATTTATTATATTTACATAGGGTGAGTGGTATCGGGTGGTGTCTACACGTACGTAGCGTGCCGCTCCACGTGCAGCAGCGTGTCTTGGCGATCCATTGCACGTGCAGTGTCTACACGTGCGGAGCGCACGTGCGCTGTCTACACGTGCGGCGTGCATGCGGCGAGCGCGCGCCGCAGCGCCTGGCGCACGTGCGCGCGGCCCTCGCAGAACACGTGCGTGGCGTGGCGCTCCACGTGCAGCAGCGTGTCGTGGCGCGGCAGGTGCACGATGCAGCCGTCGGCGCCCGCCTCCACGCGCGCGTCGCCCAGCCCCTCGCGCGCCAGCTCGCGCACCAGCGCCGCCACGTCGGGCGCGCCCAGCGCCACCGGCTGACGTTCAATTCAAATTTAAATCATCTTTGGTCCCTCGAGCCAGATTGAACTATATGTAACTAATGAGCGTGCAGTCCCCGGTAGAGCCAACCCATTCGTGTTATAACCACCATAACTGTAATGTGGCTCTACCATCTAAAGATAATTAAAAGTTATTTAAAATTAATTTATGTTAATGTATTTTAACAAAATCAACCCTAATTAGTTATTAATGTAATATATAATTTTTTATTTTTCATTGTTATTTTGCAATGTACGACCAAATTTGCAGGGAAGGTTCAGAATAAGTTATACAGGGTATTTTTGGAACGCTCCCGAAAACTAAGACAGGCGACAGCACCAATAACCTTTGATCATGGGTTACAAATAAAGTCGATCCTGATGAAAAAAAAATCATCTTTTAACAACATTTTATTAGCTTTACTCACGCGCCATCATGTTAGTACAGCTAAATGAAACGATAATTTCATAAAAAATATCATGAAAATACTGAAACATAAAACCAGCAGTGGAAACTGAATTGATATCACCTGACTAATGGAGGTTAATGTACGCGCGAACGGTGAAAAACAAACGCTGGCCTTGAACTTGGGCACTGAGCGATTTATCACATATTGGTACGAAAGGCGCGCGACGGGGGAACAATCCGCCAGTATTAGTGTGCCTGCATGCTATTGGTTCCCGCGCTTTGTTCGCTCCAAAAATACAGTCGCATACACAGCTTACTTTGCGACTCGCGACGATGTTTTAAAAAGGAAGGAAAGAAAAATTATTTATATCTATTGTTTTATGACTAAACTAGTGATCGAAAAGGTAAATATGATAGGAGAAGGTGAATGGGGAAAATTGTGCAGTAAAGTTAAAAGTGTGGAGGAAGAATACCGAAAAAATTACCATGTGATCGACCTGATGACGGAAGCTCAAGCGAAGATGAAAGTGATGATCAAGTAGCATCCAGTAACACCAACACACCATTAACATCTGGCTTCCATGTGACCCAAGACGTCATAATGGACGGCGTGTTACCCTTAGCTAAAGTTTTCTTGTTACAAACTACTTTATATTTTACGATAGAAATAACAAATAATGCTCATGTAAACATTATCCATTTTTAATTCCCACCTCTTCCAAAGTTCTAAGTAGCTAGTAAAACACCTATTATGATTCTACATTAAAACAATTAATTACTATAATATTATAAAACAATAGCCCAATACCATGTAGTACTTTAGAACGCGACTGTACCCACACCCCCTCCGCTATCGACCTGTATCTAGCTCGGTACGAAACACGCAGTCGTAAGAAAAAAGGGCGCATCTAACAATTTATGAATAAATGAGTTAAATATACCATTCGATTCATGATAAGAAGGCGCATCTACTAATTTTTTTTAATATTCACAAATATCAATATTTTAGAAATTATCGTAAGAATTTTAGACGTAACTGTTGATCACAGATGACTTTTTTTAGTAGAAAAGACTTATACAAATTCAACATAAAAGAAAAGACTTATTTAACCAGTTGCTACGTCATCTTTAACAATATTTGCATCGATTACTTAAATTTCAATTATTCTTGGTCTTGTCTTATTATTCTATATCTTATTATTAAGAGCTTATATCTTATTGTTAAGAGCTGGTGTTTCACATGTGGTCCCATATAAATTTGATCGAGGTCAGACCAATAGTTTTTGAGTTATCCTTAATTATTTATATTAAAGTCGGTTGTACAAAATTTTTAATTTTTAATTATTATCGTAGTAAGTCTTGTATGATATCCCCTTTAAAATCATTACTTTTTAAAATTATTATTTTTGTGTCTCACTACCAATGCTTTTCTAATATTTATTAAAAAAAAAAAAAGTAGTAAATTACTATTAGCGTCCTTTCAACTTCAAATGACCTTTCCAAAATATGTAAAATTGTTAAATGAATGGCAGTTTTTTTTTTTATTTATTAGGTTGGAAAGACGCAAATAGTTATATGCGTCTTTCCTTCGATGTTTTTGTGTTGCCAGGTGTATTTTTTAAGCTAAGATGAAAAGGAAAATTCGTTTTATTTAAATAAATAAACAAATTATCAAAAAATTTGTTCATCCTTAAAATCTTCATGTCTCTACGTATTTTCATATAGATAGCTTTTAATATAGGTACTTTAGACACAGGGTCTGAAAGAAAAATTCATCAATTTATTTTTTATTTCCATTTTACGTTTTTGTTAGTTGCGTCCTTCTTTATGTAACCCGACGACGGCAGAATGTAACCCGGCCGGCTCGTGTCGCCTCACGCTGTGACGCAGTAGACAAAGCAAGGAGTAAAGTATTCTGTGAGACAAAGAGTATAATAACTATCCTAGCAGTAGGTTTCAGTTTTGTTGGGGTTCGTTATTAATTGTAGTTTTTGAAACAGTTCCGTGTTGATTTTGTACACGCGTGCGTGAGCGACAGCTCAATCGTATTGTTATTACTTGTGATTACGTGTTGGTATTATTCCTGTTGTTACGTTTTTTGTTTTAATAATGCTTAACGCGTACTTTTATAGTGATTGTGAATACAGCAACATGTTATCCGAACCCAGGTACACGAAGTATCGCCAAATAAATTGTTAAGACGTCGGGATGCGTTTGTGCAGTGCACAAAGTGTTGAAGCGTAACCGAATGCGCCCATACAAATTGCACAAAGTGCAAGCTTTAGTTCCCGGCGATCACATCCGCCGACGAGTTTTCTGCCGTTGGTTATTATACCAGCGACAACGTGTGCCTGGTTCCATTGAGCACATTATCTGGACGGATGAGTCGACATTTACCAGAAACGACCTGTGGAACCGAAGAAATACACACGTGTATTCAGAGGTTAACCCGCACGCTGTTCGACAAACCGGGCACCAAACCCGATGGTCGGTTAACGTATGGGCAGGTTTATTTAAGGATCGCATACTGGGACCAGTGTTTCTGCCACAGCGACTGAACAGACAGCGATACCATGTCGTGAGGTTCGTCCGTGAGCGCCTCAATGAGCTATTTGATGATCGCTGGATCGGCAGACTAGGACCACACGCTTGGCCACCTCGCTCACCAGATCTGACCCCGTTAGACTTCTTTTTGGTATGTGAAAGAAAGGGTTTTTAATCGTGAGTGTGATAGTGCTGACAAAATGCGCCAAAGGATCGTGGATGCTTTCGAGAAACTATGTACGGACTGTGTCGAAGACCACACGATGATGCCCCGCCTGCACCCAAATCTACCTTGAAATGAATGGAGCACAATTTGAGCTGCATCTCATAAGACCACGGAGGATTTAGAGCGGTAAGCTGTTTCATAACTATTTTTTTTAAATAACTTAGTACTGAACTAATCTGAATAGGTACATAACTGAATACATGAGAATAATAAACATACCTACACGATGAATAAAAACGCATGACTCCAACCTTGGTTGCATTTCATTTAAGTATTTTTTCATTAGCGTATGTAGTGGTATGGCCCGCTAGTTGCGGGCCGCGCGAATTTGCGTTCGCGAGTACATTGACCTTTAGTCAGGTGATACAATTCAGTCATTCCACTGTTGGTTTTATGTTTCAGTATTTTCATGATATTTTTTATGAAATTAACGTTTCATTTAGCTGTACTAACATGATGGCGCGTGAATAAAGCTAATAAAACGTTGTTAAAAGATGATTTTTTTTTTCATCAGGATCGAATTTATTTGTGACCCATGATCAAAGGTATACTTGGTGCTGTCGCCTGTCTTAGTTTTCGGGAGCGTTCCAAAAATACCCTGTATATAGTTATATAGAGGCCCTATACTACCATTTTCTATCTTCAATCAAAGTCTGCAAACTCGCATGAACTTTCACCGTTAGTCTTTTATCTGTAGGGTGAAATAAAGAGTCGTGTTTACGTCAAAGAGACCATCATAACTTTGCAAGAAAACCGCCACAATAAAGTTATTGCTGCGTTCACGGAAGTTAAAAGTGTTCAAGGTAAACAATGTAAAAAATTATTTAAGAAAACGTGCTCGTCTACGCATAAAGAGTGTAGCGGTTTTTTGATCGTTCGGTAATCTTCAGAAGCCCTCGGCTGCGCAGGAGAAACGGGCTCGGTTTTCCTGCCTCGTTAGTCGATCCAACCGTCCGACATCGTGAAGCCACTCGTTCGCGCGCCGATCCGCTACTTAGAATTTACATTGTGAATAAACGATTATTTAAAATATGGGGCGTGTTCGTTATTCACATCCACAAGAGAAACGGATTCCATTTTTAAAGTAACAATGAATATGGAAAACCTTAACGCCGTCCACTATCTGGAGACGGCGAAGCTGGCATTGTTCTTTCTAACCGAGACTCAGGTGTCCTCTCCGGCTGATACTTCGTATCTCTACTACCCAGAGTACAAATTAGAACACTCCTTTGTGCCCTGGGCTGGAATTTGCGTAAACGTCAGAGAGGACATCCTACGCTGTACGCATGACCATTCTCGCTCCCATCGCGGTTGCGTTGTACACGTTGCCGCCGTATTTGGCACTATAGGTCGGCCGATTGGGACAGGATGCGGTCTTTTTTGCATCCTACCCTTGGGGGCGGGTATGCTTCTCGCCTGATGATTCCAACGTTGTTGCTGATTCTGTCGCTTATTTGGTACTTCATGAAATGGAACTATTTATTCAATCATTTGTGATGCCTAATGGAGCCAGAACTGAGCTATAGTTTGGTCACACCTGTAAAATTGCATCATGCCATAAGCAGGAGTGCTACCGGGCATGGGCTGACGCATCAACTTCAATTGCCAAGGCAAAGTCAGAGCACATCAACAGAATTGGCGAGATACTAGTTCGACTTCTTTCGGGAACACGTGTATTCTGGTCATCTCGAACTTCTGTCAGTCATCTCAGCCATCCTTGCACAAGGAGGAAGACTCACTGACCCATGCCGCAAAGGAGACAGCCGATCTGCTAGGCTCTCTTTTTGCGCCCAACTCGACTCTCGATGACGGCAGGAACAGACCGTCGACCATCCCGCGGTGTGAGTGCTCCATACAGGATGTGTTGTTTAAACTGCGCTCGGTGCACAAAGCACTCCTCTCCCTGGACGTCCACAAGTCGAGTGGGCCTGATGGAGTCCCACCTATTGTGCTGAAAACGTGTGCTCTGGAGTTGGTACCAGTCTAACGCGTCTTTTCTGGTACTCCTACTCCCTAGGCGTAGTCCCAGCTTTGGTGTACCCGATACCTAAAAAAGGCGACCGCTCATATCCGTCCAACGATAGGCGTACCGCTATCACCTCCTTATTCTTCAAAATAATGAAAACAATTATTAACTGCCAATCACCAACGCTATTTCTTCTGCATATTGTAACAGTAATGGTCGTCTGTTAGAATATTAAATAATATAGTGACCAGGTAAATAAAATATAGATACTTCCCTAGGATCTTGCTTGAGGTTTAGTTAGGCTGTTTAATAAAATAATGGCGTGATCGTCTTAGTTAGGACCCTTATTGACGCTGTGAGAAACTTAGTTCTCTTAGGTATCTCTCGGAAGAATGAATATTGTGTACGTGAATGATCCAGTAAAAGAGGACTTGGCCCCTTGGTAGTGCGTAAGCACAAACACCGACCGAAGTCACGTATGTCAATGCGTGTAAACGCCGTACTGAATACAATCAAATGCAGCCACCATGAATGTACCTTACAATGCTTAGGCAACACGTCGAATAATAGGCACACTGGCCATAAAAAGCCCTCCGTGAGCGCCACCACCTGCCAGACCGACATTCCTGCAGACGGGATATGAGTGTAAGGCATCACCACCAATTGCATGATCAGCACGGCCAACTGGCCGCATAGCGTGTCATGAGCCTACCGCTCACCTCAAGGGAATGGGGTACCACGTTGCGCGGCTTTCGGCCGCAGCCTTAAGGGCCTCCTCAGATTCTCCCTCCAGCTACCACCCGCATATAAAACATCATGGAGGTCAGACAGTTTGCAGCCTCTTAATGAAGGGACCCGACTTGGGCAAAGCTACTTAGGGTGTGAGTCAAACCAAGACGTATAGAGCGGCATTGAGAATAGCGACCCGCCCAACAAACATCGCAGAGATGCAATGCTGCAAAACACACAAAGCATCAATACAACTATCGTCGGGCTTACACCATCCCAAGGTCCCCCATACAATCCCAGGAGACATCGCCACCCACATACCTCCATCGACCAGAACCACAAGATGCGTCGAATCATGCGCAGTACACCCGCAGATTAATCACAAGACACAATACCGCAAGTAGCAGTAACTATCATTGCAACTATCATACGGATGGCGCCCCCTCACAACACACCCACATGGTAACATTTTGGTAACAAAATCGGTACTGTTTTTAATTAAAAATACCACCAACATATCATAGTAGCACGCTACTAAGACGTCAGTAGCCATAACTCCACGTATCATATCGCTATGGCACTAAGACATGGAATTGAGTATGCTTGCTGCACTTAAAAGTACTATAAAACACACTCAGTCTAAACCGAAAGATAGCCGACGTATCAAAACGCTATGCGCTAAGACGCCGCCCACAAACGGTAGGGGTGTGCGATGTCCACAGCAAGTCGTATTGCTACAACAAACCCGCTTACCACCGGCACTAAGATGTTATGTCTAGGACACATCGGTTAGTGAGTCCAAGTTTACCTCGGTCTCGGACGCTGTAAAGCACTATAATAATCCTTTTCTAGTCGGCTCCGTGGCGTAGTGGCTTAGCAATGAGTTGTTGCGCTGGGGACCGCGGGTTCGAATCCCGCACGGAACAAGTATTAGGTCCTTACATATGAAATTGGCGTTTTGTACGGGAGGAATATAAAGTCAATTTTTTTTTTGTAAAATATATTTATTTAATCTAAGTATTTTTTTTATCTAAGCACCGTTGTTATCTATGCACTTTTGCCATCTCATAAATAGTTCATTGATCCCTTTACTAAAAAAAAAACCATGGGGGCGAGAATCAATAAACTCTCTGAAGGCGGTTTGGACTGCCGCATCGGAGTTGAATTTTGTTCGTTGTTAGAAGTTAGAAAAAATGGTAATCTGTTGGAGCAAGGTCCGGGGAGTACGGTGGATGTCGCAGACATTCCAATTGTAGCTCATCTAACTTAGTGGTTGTTTGTTGTGCAGTGAGTGGTCTTGCGTTGTCGTGAAGCAGCAGTGGCCTAGAGCGATTGACCAATCTCGGTTGTTTAGCAGCTAGTTCTTCCTTCATAGTTTGCAGTTGCTGACAATAGATATCTGACGTAATCGTTTGGCCAGATTTTAGAAAGCTGTAGTGAACGACACTGGCGCTAGTCCACCAAACATTCACAAGTAACTTTACTGAGTCAATCTTCGCTGGGTCTCCAGGGTTCAGCCATTGCGAAGAGCGCTTCCGATTATCGTACAGTATCCACTTTTCATCACAAGTAATGATTCCATTTAAAAACCCTTCATTATTGTGTCGGTTGAGCAAAGTAACACAGTTTGCAAGTTCGATTCACTCAATTCATGAAGTACCCATCGTTCAAGTTTTTTTACTTTCCCGATTTTCTTCAAGTGGATTAATACAATTTTAAATCTCTGAAGTGCTTGTGATGAATCCGCTTCCACAATAGCCTTTAATTCTTCATTTTCCACTTTGGTCTCCGGCCGTCCACGGGGTTTTTTTTTATGGGAGAGGGGGGCAAACGAGCATACGGCTCACCTGATGGTAAGTGACTACCGCCGCCCATGAACAACCGCAACACCAGGGGAATTGCAGATGCGTTGCCGGCCTTTTAAAAAGGAGTACGCTCTTTTCTTGATGGTCCGTAATTCATATCGGTCCAGAAAAATCGCTGGTGGTAAACTATTCCACGAGGCAGTTGTGCGAGGAAGAAAACATGATCAAAAGTTTTTGAAAAAGCAATACTTAAGAGACTTAATAATTTTATGGAAAGTTTTAATATAATAATATAAGTAATAACGCACAAAATGATTTTGTTAAAAATAAATCCACAACATTAGCGACCTTCTAATTCGTTAAGTTTATTCAGAATGCATTAATGACGGTGCAATGTTGGTAGCTCTTTTTTTGGTTATGAGTAAAGCATTTGACTTTGTTCATCACGGAATCAATTTGTGGAGCACACTCCATGGTATTGTCCAAGGCATTATTTAAAGAAATGAAAGCACTACCACTAGCATTTTTTTTTATAGGAGAGGGGGCAAACGAGCATGCGGCTCACCTGATGGTAAGTGACTACCGCCGCCCATGAACAACTGCAACACCAGGGGAATCGCAGATGCGTTGCCGGCCTTTTAAAAAGGAGTACGCTCTTTTCTTGATGGTCCGTAATTCATATCGGTCCGGAAAAATCGCTGGTGGTTAACTATTCCACAAGGCAGTTGTGCGAGGAAGAAAACATATTTTAAATCGCACAGTGGTGGACCGCCAATCATCCAGATAGTGTGGATGGTATCGGGAGTTCTGCCGCGATGTGCGTTCGTGAAATTTGGCGGCTGGGATTAATCCGAACAATTCCTCAGAGCACTCCCCGTGGGAAATGCGAAAAACAATGCAAAGAGATGCAACATCTCTTCGCAGCGCCAATGAGTCGAGCCGATCGGAAAGGACTCGGTCGTCGACGATTCGAACCGCTCTGCGCTGGATGTGGTCAAGTGTAAGGAGCTGGCACTAGGGAGCCCCAGCCCAGAGATGGGAACAGTATTCCATGTGAGGCCGAACCTGCGCCTTGTAAAGTTGCAGGAGTTGAGCCGGCATGAAATACTGTCCCGCTCTGCTGAGCACGCCAAGCTATTTAGAGGCCAATTTGGCCTTCTCTTTCAAGTGACCACGAAACTGCACGTCACTGGATATGTCGACTCCGAGGATTCCGATACTGGCTGAGGCAAGAAGGGGAGTACCTTGAAACTGAGGAGATACGACAAAGGGGTTCTTTTTAGCGGTAAATGCGCAAACTTGTGTCTTCTGAGGATTAAACTGGACTAAATTTAGTCGGCCCCAATCCGAGACTTTGTTCAGCAAAGACTCGACTTCAGACACAAGTTTTTTCCGGTGCTCAGCGACGTTTTCCCGAGAAATATTGGCACGGCCGGTGTATAAAGCATCACCAGTGCTGTCATCCGCATAGCAATGAATGTTACCAGTTAGCAACATATCATTGATATGCAGAAGAAACAGCGTTGGTGATAGCACATAGTCTTGTGGAACACCAGCGTTAATAGGCTTGTAGTCGGAGCATGCACCGTCTACAACGACCTTGATGCTCCGATCTGCAAGGAAGCTAGTGATCCAATTGCACAATTACTCGGGAAGCCCATAGGAAGGGAGCTTCGAAAGAAGCGCTTTGTGCCAAACCCGATCGAAGGCCTTCGCAATGTCCAAACTAACGGCCAACGCCTCCCCCTTGGACTCTACTGCCTCCGCCTATCTATGAGTCAGGTAGACCAGAAGATCACCAGCTGATCAACCCCGACGAAAACCGTATTGGCAGTCACTAATCAGCTGGTGATCCTCAAGGTACCGCATGAGCTGGCAGTTAATAATGGATTCCATTATTTTGGAGAACAAGGAGGTGATGGCGATAGGTCTTTAGTTGACGGGTCTGAGCGGTCGCCTTTTTTAGGGATCGGGTGGACAAAAGCTGTCTTCCATGAATTCGGGACTACGCCTTGGGAGTAGGAGTACCAGAAAAGACGCGTTAGGACCGGTGCCAACTCCGGAGCACACGTCCTGAGCACAATTGGAGGGATTCCGTCAGGCCCACTCGACTTCTGGATGTCCAGGGAGAGGAGTGCTTTGCGAACCGAGCGCTGTGAGAACAGCACATCCGGCATGCAGCACTCACACCGCGGTATGGTCGGCGGTGTTTTCCCCCCGTCATCAAGAGTCGAGTTGGACGCAAAAAGGGAGCCTAAAAGGTCGGCTTTGTCTTTTGCGGCATGGGCCAGTGAGTCGTCCTCCCTGTGCAGAGATGGTAGTGATGGCTTATAGAAATTCCCTTGGACAGCCTTGGCGAGAGACCAGAATGCATGGGTTCCCGAAGGAAGGCGAACTAGTTTCTCGCCAAATCTGCCTATGTGCTCTGACTTTGCCTTGGCAATAACTCTGGAGGACCTGGAGGCGAAGTTATACTTCTTTTTAAGTGTGCTGGTGTTTACATCCCGAGTCGCCGAAGCCGCAGCCCAGGCTTGATAACACTCCTGCTTACTGCGTAGTACTTACTTACAGGAGCGATCAAACCAAGGCTGAGATCTGCCTCCGATGGGTACCACAGATGATGGAATAAATAGTTCCATTCCCTGTAGCACCACATCAATGACAGAGTCAGCAACAACGCTGGGATCATCCGGCGAGAAGCAAACCCATGGGTAGGATGCAAAGAAAGACCGTATTCCGTCCCAATCCGCCGACCTGTAATGCCAAACACGGCGGCAACCTGCAGAACGCAACCGCGAGGGGAGCGTGAGTGGCACCACACTCCGGATCAGACAATTGGGCCTCCTGTCACCTGTACTCACCAGACGAATCGCAGAAGCAGAGCTTCTACTTTACGCCGGTATTCTGTGAGGTCGTGGTACCAACCCGGCTCGAGCCGGCCTATACGTGCAACAGCAAAAACTGCCGCGTGGCTCTATTACAAATCAAAATGTAGATGCGTTGTCACCCGTGAGGACTAAGATGGAATGCCTCATTTCCAGTAAAAAGGGCCTCCGGCCACCTGCACTCACCAAGCGAAACGCAGAGGTAAACCTCTACGTCACGCTGTGAGGTCGTGGTATTACCCCGGTTCGAGCCGGCCCATCCGTGCGACAGCAAAAGCTACCGCGTGGCTCTACCACTGTTAAAAATCAATAAGCACTGCATCATGAACTCGATATATATCACACAATATACCGATATTTCATGTTTTCCATTGTGCGGTAATAAGCGACGCCAAAGAAAAAACTAATGAGTAAAAAACAAATGAATGACTGTTTTCAAAACTCAAATGAACCAGCTAAATGAATTTATAAATTTGAATTTGGAATTCTTAACCAGAGAAGATATTTCAGATCAAAGTTGACCACTTTGATCTGAAATATACGACAAAACGCTAATTTCAGACGTAAGGACCTAACATTTGTATGGCCTACAAATAATTGTTCCGGGTTTGGATGTTTGTCCTTGTGAAATTTATGTTTGTAAACTGCTTCCACGATACAGGAGAAATTGCTAGTGTGGTGGTAACGATTTTTTTTAAAGGTCCAATTTCTTTCAATATAATGCCTTAACATATTTGAGACCTCCCACATATTTGCTTTATTTCATAGACCTTGCTATTATGTCTTATTCATATGAAACTTCAAGTCATACCTCTGCTATCATAATGCTTATACATCATAGAGACCTTCTATATTAATGCTTTTGTATCATAGACCTTATTATCATAAGTCCCTAATATAGGACTAGACATTGTGCAACAGTATTACTAGCAGTCCGTCAGCCGACCACCCCATGTACACCCATGGGTATGTATCTCCGGCAACAGCCTTATATGCTTATATATCATTACATGAATACCCTCCATTAATACAAGAACACTCTCATTTACTTAGAAAATGTTTGACCCATTTTTCAATTATATTACAAATGTTATTTATCTTTATTATTGCAATATAATCGTACTTCTATTATTTATTCTATTTTGAGTATTATAAGCACAGTTAAATTAAAAGGTTTTTTAAAGACAATATTAAGCCTTTACTATACTATAATACTTAATATTTGAAATTAATATATTTAAACTTTATGCTTACTATCGCATATTTATTGTTCACGACGGCCAAACAGTGTTTAAAATCAAAGTGATTAAAGACAATATTAAAATTGAAATTACCGACAATATTGAGTAAATAGTGTATTAATATAGTTGTACAGCATATTTATAACTCTAATATATTCGTATAGGATGTCGTTTCGATAAAAGTTAAGATAAATAACTTTTATAGTATAAAGAAAAATCGACCAATCAGAGCGCGTCATATCGTAAAAGTTTCTAGAAGTTTTTTAATTAACTGCGTAATGGTTGATCCCGAAAATGATGGGAATAATATTTATGTTCTGAAAGAGTTATAACTATGACATTGAATTAGCATAAGGTTTATAGATTAAGGAAGTGAAAGAATATACTGTATAATTAAACTCATTTCCTGTTCGCGCCAAACACTGTCAAGAATCGACGCCAGATGTCACTCGGCTCGGCGCGATACCGGTTTGAAGTTCGGCCGAGCGTGGCAAGAGCGCGCGAGTCGCGAGCGAAAAAGAAGTCGTCTGCCAGCTGTGCTTGGAACAGCACGCTGTCATTTTTGTACGGGAACCGCGGAATAGTTAGGGCGTCTAGTAAATATCCCGTCTAGGATTTATAACGCGCATTCCCTGTTTGGATAGCCTTTCCCGGGACTTAGTGGGTCCGATTTAGAATCTGTATAAGTGCATTCGACAATATTAGCTAGTGCGGCCTCTGATATTCTAGAACTAACTGTTGCAACGCGAAACGGTAGTGACCTTTGATCCAGAAACTCCGTGTGCGTTTTGTGCGTTAACCTTATACCCAGCGATAGTTAGTGGCTTCTGTAAGTTAGTTAATCGTACGATAGAGTTAATTGACTGTCATCGTGACGAACGAGGAAAGTGACTGTGATCCGGCGCCGAAGCAGTCTGAAGCGGTGCAGCATTTTGGACAACGCCTCGGAAGGCCCTCTCAAGTTGGAGCGGTGTCGACGCTCGGGCTGCTGCCGACGGCCAAGGTCTAGGTTCAATCACCCGCAGTCACACCCAGATACACATCACATCACCTTCTTTCCCTTTCACTATACAACCACATGTGACCTGACCGACTCCGGAGGGACCAGTCGCCTTGGATATAGGTAAGTAAGCTTCGCCTAATTCCTCTGCCGGTTGACTGGCCGTAGTATAGAACGCTCCCCCATATATTTAGTGTAATTAGAGAGATTCCACGTGGCCACATTGAGGCCCGACCTACGTCTGCTCGGGAAGTCTTCAGCTCATGGGCCCCTGAGGATTTGACCCTTTAAGGGAGCAGCCGTAGGCCGTAACATTTCCTATTTAATAGTAAAATTAAAGAATTAATGTATCCAGATATTATGAAAATTTGGGACATTTCGTTTAACAACTTTTTATAATGTTAATACATTTAGTAACCTTTATGATATACTAATAAAGGACTAATTTTTTGCCGATTTAATAATGTATAGCATGTTAATGTAGAAATTGATCTTGTACAGTAAATATTGTAATATATGTCAATTGTATAGTGAAAATGTTATGCAATAAGGAGGCAAAACGGACAATGGCAAGCGGCTTACTATAAAGTATAGCCAAAGTCTACCTTAGGACCTCGGGACTCACTAACGTTGTAGTGTGAAGAGCTACCAGTAAGGAGCGGTAGTACCCAGTAGTAGCTGAAGTGACTAGTAGCAGTATATAGTGGACTGTGTGCATGTTTGTTGTTTTTATCACATATAAAAGAAATATTATTGAGCACTCGTGAAATATCGGATTATTTTTGGTCGTTCGAGGCGGATGTATGAGGTGCAGCGCGTACAGTTAAGTGATAATGGTATATAGTGGTACCTGCGGGAGCGGCGCGGGCAGCGGGCCGTGCGGCTGCGCGGCGCTCAGCTCGAGGCGCGCGTCGCGCAGCGCCAGCTGGGCCACGAGCGGCGCGGCGCGCAGGCCGGCGCGCAGCTCGCGCGGCGCGCAGCCGGCGGCCAGCGCGCCGCACAGCTAAGTGATAATGGTATATAGTGGTACCTGCGGGAGCGGCGCGGGCAGCGGGCCGTGCGGCTGCGCGGCGCTCAGCTCGAGGCGCGCGTCGCGCAGCGCCAGCTGGGCCACGAGCGGCGCGGCGCGCAGGCCGGCGCGCAGCTCGCGCGGCGCGCAGCCGGCGGCCAGCGCGCCGCACAGCTAAGTGATAATGGTATATAGTGGTACCTGCGGGAGCGGCGCGGGCAGCGGGCCGTGCGGCTGCGCGGCGCTCAGCTCGAGGCGCGCGTCGCGCAGCGCCAGCTGGGCCACGAGCGGCGCGGCGCGCAGGCCGGCGCGCAGCTCGCGCGGCGCGCAGCCGGCGGCCAGCGCGCCGCACAGCTAAGTGATAATGGTATATAGTGGTACCTGCGGGAGCGGCGCGGGCAGCGGGCCGTGCGGCTGCGCGGCGCTCAGCTCGAGGCGCGCGTCGCGCAGCGCCAGCTGGGCCACGAGCGGCGCGGCGCGCAGGCCGGCGCGCAGCTCGCGCGGCGCGCAGCCGGCGGCCAGCGCGCCGCACAGCGCGCCGCGCGCCGCGCGCCGCCGCACGCCCAGCGCGCGCGCCGCGCCGCGCCGCACCACCGTCACCGGCCCGTCCGCCACCACGTGGGGCCGCGCGCCGCCCGCCCCACCAACTGCTCCCCCCGCACCCACCACCTGCAATAACAGAATCTAACTTACAAATCCTTACTTATTGTAATTGTATCACTCCACAAAATTATAATAAAAATTGTTTACACTTGGTACATCCAAATATAGAAAAAAAAATGGCAAAATGCTACGCGCGACCGCAACTCGCACACCAGCGTGTTGGCTGCGCGTAGTTCAGCGACGTGTCAATATGTCGGTGTGTCGATGTGTCGATGGGGCAGTGGAACGTACCCCGGTGGGCGCGGCGTACTGCTCGGGCAACACCAGCTCGCGCGGCCGCAGCTCGCGCACCAACTTGTTGGCCTGCGCGTAGTTCAGCGACGTGTCGATTGGACAGTGGAATGCCTTCATGCTCAGTGGCTGGAACGGCGCCAGCGCCTCCAAGTACGGGAAATCCGGTTCTACAAAGTCATATATATTGGGTTTTCACTTTTATTTTGCTTTTTATAATAATTTGCATATTTTACAAAAAAGAATTCGTTATACTTATTATAAGATATAAATTAATTAAAATGGCAACCATTTTGAAAACTCGTGTTTCTAGATCTTTTAAAATTAGAGTCTACGTACGTAAAGTCAAAATTGAAACTTCTTGTTATTGGATCGATTGCTTTGATTTCAAATGACAAGGAGGAATAAGTGGAAGGGGAAAGAGGATTGGTGGTTACGAGAGGGACAGTGGGAAAGAAAGACGAATGGGGGTACCTGTGAAAATGATTGCGTGGGCTGGGTTGTTGGCCCACAGCTCCACCAAATGCACGGCGGCACCGAACCGCAAACTGGGGTGTCCGCAAAATACCACGCAGGGCTGCAAGCAAATTATGTGTACATAAATACACACATCAACAGCATCTTAGCCCTAGATAATCTTAATCCTAAATCATTATTTACGACTTTATAGTTTAAAATCTTTTTAGTTGCCATAAAAAGTTTATATACAGATTCAAACCTCTTTTATTCTATTTTCAAAATTTAAAAACGTAAATTAAAAAAAAACAAAATGAAAAAGATAATACGGCGGCGAAATTGTTAGTAATTCGTTACGTCAAGGACAATTAAAATTATTCTACTGTTTGTATTGTTGATTGTTTTTCTTTTTTAATTTAACGTGCCGTGTGAGCTTTAAGTCATTTCACATCGTTATTTGAGTCTAAATGAAATGTTACGAGCAGTGGGCACATTAGAAAATTGTGCTATTCAAACGCATCGTTGCTGAGGCCCTAGACACCAGCCAAAACGTGATATCAAGGTTGTGGTCACGTTATCGAAGTCCTGGGGATGTAGCTGAACGGCACACGGGTAGATATCGTGTATACTACACAGAGATCGATCCTGTCGATTTCTACATGACCGCCAGAAGATAACCCAATATCACAACGATGCAACTACTATAAAGGGTCTTGGAGGACCACCAGCTGCTGGTAAGCGACCAAACAATCAATCAATGTTTGATTGTTTGGTCGCTTAGTGGCAATCGCGGCCGGCGGCTTTCATGGGCTCGGGAGCATTTATCATGGAGTGACGAATAATGGTCTTTGGCGCTGTTCACCAATGAGTCCCGATTTGGGTTCCATCCGGATTCACGAAAAACACGCATTTGGAGAACTCCATGGAGAGTTAGCCGTCTACGCCACCCTTAGGAGGTCCACCCAAGGCGGGACAATCATGGTGTGGGCAGGAATTCGTCTTGGCGGACGAACCCAGCTCGTTTGGATCCAAGGTAGAATGAGTGCACAAAAATATCACGAGGTGGTAGTAGAGCCTATTATTGTCCCACACAAAATCCAAATGGGACTGGAATTTCTACTCATGCACAATAATGCTCATTCCCATACGGCGCGGCTGGTGTAGGCTGCTCTCTAAGACCACGACATTCAAGTTTTGGATTGGCCTGAACAATTGTCCGACTTAAATCCTATCGAGCATGCCTGGAACATGTTACAACGAAGAGCTTTGAGATTTCCCGCCAAATTTGACGACAGAACAACAAATTTACGAACACTTGCAAAGAACATGGGACCTCATACCGCAACAAGACATTGACAATTTAATTTTAAGTATGAACAATCGATGTCGATGTGTAAATAATGGTGGCAACCTTAATTACTGTAATTAGATTTTTTTCAATTTTAATTAAAATTAATATAATTAATAGAATCAGGCGTTACTTTGCGGAAATCCATTATATAAAAGCTTTTACAAAAATTTACTTCGCAAATATCCGCGTTATAAAATAAAATGATGTGTAACGGCTGCGTAAGTCCAGCGGTGATTGGTCGCATGTTTTATCGCATGACGCAGTCGCTCGCTCCTTAGGTAGAGAGCGGTTGCATCATCGGTCTGTATAAAAGGCACTTGTTTTGGCTCGCCGCTCACTTAGCGGTTAGCCACCGTAGAGTCTATATCACCTGAGGATGCCTCGTGTAGAGGCGAAACACGTGTCGTATTATCGTCAGTGGTGTGCCTTGCCTAGTGTAGTGGTGTTGGGAGTAGCGGTGCTGGGATTAGTGGTGACGGGGATAGTGCACGCAATTGAGGGAGGGCGGGAGGTGCTCTTCGTACTAGGTAAGACACATCATTTTATTTTATAACGCGGATATTTGCGAAGTAAATTTTTGTAAAACCTTTTATTTAAAATTAATAGTTTTATAAGAACATTTTTATTTAATACAACAAAATTACGAAACGACAAAAAAGTTAAAACAAAAAAATTATTTTTTATTAAAGACCTTAAAATAACCTGTCTTTCTTTCATTCACTATATCAGAAAATTCTTCATAGATTTTTTGAGATATTTGATGATATATAAAATATCCCTAGATTCTGATGATGTGTATATACAGGGTCATTTTTGATTTACTAAATACTTCTTGGGGATATATTGGTTGCATCATTACAAACAATTTTCGCGAAATCACTCTTTACAGAATATAATACATTTACAAAAAACAAATTTTAAGTTGTTGTTGTCATGTTTGACTCCTTTTAAATGTGTATTTTGTAGTACCTAAACAATTTCAGAAAAAATCGTCAAAGAAAATGCTTTTTTTATTTTACACTTGATATCGGTATCACACATTGTGTTGAAATCATTACACATAATTAAGTAAGCAAATAACATTCGAAAAATCACAAATATTAAAGTCTGTGATACGTAATTATAAAGTAGGATCTGCGACGCTAATTTTCAAGGTTAGCAATATTAATCTCACAACGGAAGGACAAGCGTCGCGGGTGCATCAAAGACGACTGACGTCACAGGTAATTAAGTCAATTTCAAATGAGTAAGCGCCATCTCCTACACCCCTCCACCCGGAAAGTCCGCGCAGAAGGCGACGTCGTGCAAGAACGCGAGCACAGGGAGCAAGTTAAGGCGAACTGATCTGTCAGAAGTTCGAGCAAAAAGCGACGTCGCGTCCCGCAGGTGCTCAACATGGCGAGCACAGTGAGCGAGTTTAGACGAGGCCGACCTGTCAGAAGTCCGTGCAGAAGGCGTCGTAGTGCAAGAACGCGATCACAGGGAGCGAGTTAAGGCGCGCTGATCTGTCAGAAGTTCGCGCAGAAGGCGACGTCGCGTCGGGCAGGTGGTCAGTATGGCGAGCACAGTGAGCGAGTTAAGGCGAGGCCGACCTGTCTGAAGTCCGCGCAGAAGGCGTCGTCGTGCAGGTGCTCAGTATGCGAGCACAGTGAGCGAGTTAAGGCGAGGCCGACCTGTCGGAAGTCCGCGCAGAAGGCGTCGTCGTGCAGGTGCTTGGCGTGGCGCAGGCGGCCGGCGCGCACGAGCGCCGCGTGCGGGAACGGCTCCTCGGGCAGGTAGACGCGCGCCTGCTTGCCCGCCGACACCCACTCGGCAAGGATGTTGCTGTAGGCCAGCGAGGAGTCGGCCACCGGCGACACCACGTAGAGCGGCACGTGCCCCAGCCCCGCGCCGTCCAGGTGCGCGGAGAGGCACTCGAGCAGGTCGTACAGCACGCCCGACGGGTACACGGGCAGCAGCAGCGAGCCGCCGCCGCGCAGCGTGAGCGCCGCGTGCACGCACAGGTCGCCCAGCATGTGGTCGGGGTTGTGCGCCGGCGTCTGCGTCAGCGCCGCCAGGATCAGCACGTCGGCGCCGCGCAGCGCCGCCTGGTTGATGGGCCGCGGGTGCGTCGTCAGCGTGCTCGACCCGCTCACGTACGCGATCTGCGACCCGCACCCGCACACACTTCATTACGCACTGCTGCTACACCACTCTCCGGTCGTATTGCACTCTTTAAGCCCGAATTAATCTTCACGTAACAATATTTGCAAAGAAAACATGTTACAAGTAAAAATTCGGATAACAAATAACCTTGTGTGTTGATTTAAGAATATACACTACTCCATATCGTCCTTTGGATGTCCTAGGAGGCGACAGAGGGAAACTATAACATGAGATGAGCAGCACTGGGCAGTATTAATAGTATAACAATATTCATTAGCCCATATGTCACCTCATACGACACCAGAGACACACCACAGAGGGAATGAAATCATAATATGGGAAGTATCGTCTTCTTAATAACAACTAATAATAATAAAAAGTTGCCGTTGCCAAGTCGCTTGTCAATCGTAGCTTGTATGACAAAATTCTCTCTATGAGGCAATTTATCTGGGAGGCCTATGTGGACTTTTATTAGCTGTAATGGATGAATGGAATACTGGAATCAATAACAATTTTTTAATTTTCATAACAGACTTGTTATTCATGCTGAGAAGATGACGATTTTGTAAACAATCGGTTCATAAACAAAAAAAATTAAGATGACGGTCATATTTTTTTTTAATAATAGATTCTATTTATATGATCAGGACTTTTCTATATTGGAATCAATCTAACCATAAGAGCGTAGTCGGTCTGCGCGGGAATTGGGAAATAGGTATTTGAAGAAACTATTGCTGTCGCACTGCGCCCGAGCAACCGAGGTATCAATATGTGAGTCAATAATCTGTATTTGTGTACGTAGCTCAGTACCACGCATCTTCCGCGCGCACCATGTTTACGGACATGATTCTTTGCTTCACTGTTTTGACTCGGCTTATGGATTGGATTTGAATACCTATATAAAACGGAAGATTCATTTTGCACCGTGTGCGGTACCATCCAAGTAAAAGTAAAGTTAAAATTTCATATCTATTATGGTCAAAAGAGCGTGAGGTGGTCAATTTTGAATGGCATGGCTGGATTCTACTCAAGATGGTCCTTATCATAAGGCGATAACAATATTAAAGCAGCAATAACAATGCTTAGCATCTTTGTTTCGCACGTGGTTTATCCCATATTAATCCCATCTGAGCGGATAAATTACCACCTGCTGCGGACGCTCGTAATATGCATTCATGTCAAATTACAATATGCATTTAAGTAGGTATATATTACCTATCTGTATGGCAATCAAATATTATAAAACTGTATAATTGAAATTCACCTTCCGACTGGGGTTGCCATCGGTGATAGAGCTTTTACTTGTTTTATAATTTTTAACCGACTTCCAAAAAATGAGAGGGTTACATTATGTTCGACTGTATGCATTTTTTATGTAAGTATGTTCACCGATTTCTCCGCCAATTGTGGACCGATTTTCAAAACTCTTTTTTTTTATTCGAAAACTTACACTCTTAAGGTGGTCCCATTGTCACCAAGTCAGAATCTGATGAAGGGGTTCCAGGCAAATCGAGGGTAACCCTCAAATTTTATAGGCACATATAATGTTTTTCATGTACTTTTTAACGCATTTATTTGTGCCTAGTAATCATCATCTCATGTTGCTGAGATGATAATGGAAGGTATAAGTTAGGATCTGATGATGGGATCCTAAGAAATTTAAGGGCAATTCACAAATTTTATAAGCATTGTTTGAAACAACATACTTCTCATGTGTTCCCATGGTCATCATGTCAGGATCTGAACAGAATTATTCACCAAGCAGTAGAATGCGAACATTAGTTACGTATTACTCCCCTAAAGTTCGCTAAAGTTTATTACAAATAATACTAAACGTAAACTCACTGAATTGTTACTTCGTTGTCTTATTAATTTCAATGTTCTGTGCCGCCTGTAAATCAGTATAGGATAAATATCGATATCGACTGACATCACTATGATATCGATAAAAACTTCGACAGTTGTCACTTTCCTAATTATTTAGACTAATAAGTATTTATTAGTCTAACCATCCCTCACCTCTGGTCTACCCCCGTAGAGTGCGATAGGGACAACTGCAGCTCAAAACTATTTTACCTACAAAAACCATGACCGATCGACATTTCGTATTACCCTGTTTTCTCCTCGAAAACTAAGCCCATTAAATTATTTTTGGTATCAAAATTTAAAGGAAGAATTGATCTATGCTCTTATCACTTGTTTTTATCTTAAAAACTTTTCAAATTTGTTTGGTAGTTGTACACGCCCCTAGATGTCCCAACCAAGGCTGACGGGATTAGGGCCCGTGAGTAATCCCATCGACGAGCAGCAGAGGGACGGGGCCAGAATATGGCCACGTGGAATCTCTCTAATTACACTAAAATATATGGGGGAGCGTTCTATAATACGGCCAGTCGACCGGGAGGAATTTGGACGTAGCTTACTTACCTATATCCAAGGCGTCTGGTCCCTCCGGAGTCGGTCAGGTCGCATGTGGTTGTGTAGTGCAAGGAAAATAAAGTGATGTGATGTGTATCTGGGTGTGACTGATGGTGATTGAACCTAGACCTTGGCCGTCGGCAGCAGTCCCTGGGAAGCTCTCCAGCAGGAATGCGCGTCACAATGGTAGACCGTATATTTACTGGCCGCGCCGAATTATTCCAAGTTCCCGACAAAATGACAGCGTGCCGTTCCAAGCACGGCTGACAGGCGACTACCTGCCCCTGTGCGTTTTTCGCACGACCGAAAGTCAAACCGGTATGAATACACCGCGCCGAGCGCCCTCTCGCGTCAATCCTTGAAACTAGCGCTTGGCGCGAACAAACCCCCGTCCCGGACATAAGGATTTAGGTCCGCGAGCAAACCGGTCAGCGGGACAAGGTCGCGACGGCAAGTTGCAAGACCGAATCTACAACCAAACTAGGCCACCTTAGGCACCCCATCAGATCTTGCAACCCTAACCAACGCCTCAAAATTACCGCCTCAACGTGGGCAAGCCGGAGGGTTGAACTGGATGCCCTTCCTGGACATCGCAGCCCATAAATAAGTCCTATTCTGGACAGAAGTCCGACGACCTCTTTCAACAGCTATCTGTGCCCCTACGATTAGTTCCGCAATCCGACCGGATCAGGTCTGCAAACAGCGACGCGACACGAAGCGGCCCAGAGCGGCCTCCTAAACTTCAGTGCAGAGAGCACCCACAAATTCCACATGAACGTCGTCTGTGGAGAACCGAACGAAACGCACAGATAGTCCTTAGTATGAATTTTCAACAAGTAGGCCTAGCCAGGCCACCCACTATATTATCATTTACTAAAATAGTGCGGCAGCTGATTTCAATCTGATAATCTCCAAAACTAGATAGCCTGTTAGACAAGCAGTCCTATGCTCATATTTCAACTAATTTTTCAAAGCGTCAATGTTCAACTACAGAATTAATTCAACCAAATTAATCACCGATGCGCATAGGTCAACTTGCAAATTAAACAAAACAATAACGTAAGGGACAGCCCTACTTCTTCGCAAAGCAAAATGATTGAACACTATCATAAACATATACATAATTTTTCAAATAGCGCGCCATTCAATTTCAAAGGAATTCAAATTTTCGTTTCAGCAAACAGACGCAACAATCAAATACAGTGATTAAAAATATGTGTATGTTTCTGTTTCTGTACAAAACACATGCAGTAGCATTTAAAGGAGTAGATTAAATTCAATTCTTTTAATTTAAACCGCTACAAATAGGAAAATTTCGCGGAAAGCTCAAAGCATTTTTTAATTTTAATTCAAGTATTTTTTGACTAAGTGCTCGACCAAACCAAATCTAATACCCCTTGACAGCGTGATTCAAAGCTCCAGGGGGGCCCTAATCTTCCCACCACCAAGGGGAGGCCACATGGCGTGAACCCGAGATCATTAGAGCACAACCGCTAACAGTCGTCACTCGGGTTGTATGCCTTCACTGAGGCCGTCGGCAACAGAACATTTTGACAAGTGGACTGTTGACGACTTAAGGCTCAGTGGAGGCGGCCGTGGTGGGAGCTAAGGCGGCAGCTAGCTAGGGCCGCCTCCATCAAATGGGGAACGGTGGTACACCAGTCGCGGCCACTCAGCTAACGGGAGTGAGAAGGGTCCAGCGGACCGATGAGTGGCCGTGAAGTTCCTCTCCGCACGCTGAGGGGGGGGCGATGACACCCCCGCCCCTGGGCGAATTACCCCCCGACTGGTCGGGGGAGGAACCCCTTTCAAACTTAGGGGCCTGATGGCTGGCTGGCGGGCGCCGATTGTCGCCCGGCAGAGGCCGTGGCTGAGCGCCCCCGCCCGTGGGGGTCGAGGGCCTGGCAGAGCCCCGAGAGGAGACGACGTTCGCACCCAGGCACAAAACTGCATGGTGATTGCCCTGGCAATGCAGACAGGGCCGTCGATGCGGACAGTCTCGCTGGAGGTGCCCTCCCAGACACGAACAGCACCAGCGGCGCTCCTTGGCGATAGTTCGCCTCGCCGAAACCGACTTACCTAATAATTTCGGGCACGACGTTACCCGATGATCAGACGCTCGACAATAGGAGCAGGGGGGGGGGGTTGACGACGACTTGCCTGGAGGATTCAGCCTCTCACTTGGCACGGCTCGTAAGTCGTCAACTGTGCCCGCCGCGTTCTCTATCTGCCGGCACTGCTCCTCCAAAAACCGCAGCAGGTCATAGAAGGGCGGAATATAGGAGGCCTCATCCCCGCCGTACCTCTCCTCAAAATGGATTCGAAGGTTGAGAGGTAGACGGGACAGCACGATGCGGAGCAACAAAAAAGCCCATTCGCCCACTGGTAAACCCAGCCGCCTCAACGTATTACAGGCCACCAAGACTGGATCCAACAGGTCCGGACAGTCTGGCCCGGTCACTAAGCAGCGGGAGGCTTAGAAGCTGCTTAACATGTTCGTCCGCAATTCGCCGGACGTTGGCGTATCTTCTGGCTAGGAGGTCCCGAGTAGTCTGGTAGGCGTCGTCCGACAATCTCAAGTGGCCGACGACGCCCAGGGCCTCTCCCTCCAGTGAGGCCAGGAGGTACGCCATCTTTTGGCTCGGGGTCAGGTCACTCCGGGCGTCCACTAGGCTGTTGAAAAGACCAACGAAGGTCAGCCATTCGGAAAGGACCCCGGAGAACTTTGGCAGGTCCAGAGTTGGGAGCCGTCCCAATAGCTCCGGCTGAAGCTGCTTCCGAGAGGACTCGGGCAGGCCACTCATCCGAACTTCACGTGCCTCCTCGGCATACCTGCCTTCAGCCTCGATCAACTCGTCCGTGAGCCACAAGAACTGCTCATAGTCCGCGAAGCAGGAGTCCAGGACTCCCTTCTCCACATCCGAATCCTCGAGATCAGCGTAAGCCTCCTCCACTGCGGCCCTTCGAACATCCACCTGCTCGAACCGCTTCATCAAGTTATGGATCCTAACCGGTCTACCTATCAAAGCATGGGCGCTTATGGCCCAGCGCAACTCAGTCCGCAGACAACGGATCAGTAGCTTGGGCGATGACATCACTACTCAATACAAATTACGACGCGGCTCGAGCTCAAATTACAAGATAACAAATAAAAAATACAACAAAAATTAACAGTTAATAAATGCAGTTCCTATCAAATCGCATTGAATAGAAATTACACAAATACGAATTACTACGTATCGACCAAATACAAGTTAGCACAAAAGAAAAGACACAAATCAAATTAACAAATAACAAATACTAGTGCGATCAAATCAAGTTAAATTCAAATTGCGCAAATACAATTACTACTCTTTAGTTCAAATACAAATTACAGTATAAACGAAGATACACATCACAGTCGATCAACAAAAAATGCCTAGCTCGGAAATCGACCCTTCGATAAGTAATCCACTACAACTATCCGACAACGATAATTAACCGATTACGTAAAAATAACCATCTACCTACATGACGTATATCTCTAGAAAAACTCCCGCTTGCGCAACCTAGGGCTCGGCTTTTCAAACTACCTACTAACCAAAAAAAGGCAAGCAACAAACAACAAAGGGAAATAATTCTATTATTACGTACAAAAAAATATTTTTACGTATTACGGACGGGCGTGATTGTAGAAACAAATTAAACCAATCAAACCAACGCTCCCTGCCACCAGAATTGTTTAATGTTTATCAAACACTATGGTCGGGATCGACCGGGGAATCGAACCCGGAACCACGCTCTGCTACCAGTTTGTACACGCCCCTAGCTGCCCCAACCAAGGCTGACGGGATTAGGGCCCATGAGTAATCCCATCGACGAGCAGCAGAGGGACGGGGCCAGAATATGGCCACGTGGAATCTCTCTAATTACACTAAAATATATGGGGGAGCGTTCTGTAATACGGCCAGTCGACCGGGAGGAATTTGGACGTAGCTTACTTACCTATATCCAAGGCGTCTGGTCCCTCCGGAGTCGGTCAGGTCGCATGTGGTTGTGTAGTGCAAGGAAAATAAAGTGATGTGATGTGTATCTGGGTGTGACTGATGGTGATTGAACCTAGACCTTGGCCGTCGGCAGCAGCCCGAGCGTCGACACCGCTCCAACTTGAGGGGGCCTTCTGAGGTTGTCCACAGTCACTTTCCTCTTTCGTCACGATGACAGTCAATTAACTCTATCGTACGATTAACTAAATTACAGTAGCCACTAACTATCGCTGGGTATAAGGTTAACGCACAAAACGCACACGGAGTTTCTGGATCAAAGGTCACTACCGTTTCGCGTAGAAACAGTTAGTTCTAGAATATCAGAGGCCGCACTAACTAATATTGCCGAATGCACTTATGCAGATTCTGAGCCAGTCACAATGAGTCCCTGGGAAGCTCTCCAGCAGGAATGCGCGTCACAATGGTAGACCGTATATTTACTGGCCGCGCCGAATTATTCCGAGTTCCCGACAAAATGACAGCGTGCCGTTCCAAGCACGGCTGAAAGGCGACTACCTGCCCTTGTGCGTTTTTCGCACGACCGAAAGTCAAACCGGTATGAATGCACCGCGCCGAGCGCTCTCTCGCGTCAATCCTTGAAACTAGCGCTTGGCGGGAACAGTAGTCGTTTGATTACGGAGGTAAAAACGGGGCATTTTTTTAGGTTTTTGGAAAGTCATATTTATTTTTGTAATAATTTTTTGGAAAAAAATAAATGACAGGGGCATGCCTTCAATAGACCTAGATTTTTATAAACAAAACCGATTACTCTAGAGGCATTATCCAGGAAGAGAATAGGGGAATACATTTGTATGGAAAAAATGCAGCCCGTCTACGCTCATAAACAAAAATCAAAAATAGCTGCCATTATATTAAACAGCTACAATGAGGATTTCTATGCCAAGTAAGTGTTCAATGTATGTTGGTGAACTGTATATTCCAAAATATTTTTATTTCGAAGACATGTGAAGTTTATTACACTTTAGGTATTGTCAAACGGTAATTATAAATGGATATAATAGAAAAATGTAAAGGGAGGTGTAATTGTGTGTGAGTGTGGGTGACCTTCTCGTGCGGCGTGCGCAGCACCCAGTTGGCGGAGCCGAGGCAGAAGCCGGAGCTGACGGGCGTGGCGTCGAGCGCGCCGTACAGGCGCACGCGCTCGTCGTAGCCCACCACGCGCACGCGCGCCAGCGCCCGCGCCAGCGCCGCGCCCGAGAACAGGCGGCGCCAGGCGCGCGGCCGCTGCGCGTGCGCCAGCGGCGCCGGCAGCACGTGCACCAGCTCCTTCCAGCGCCGCGCCTCGCCACCGCTGCCCGCCCCGCCGCCCGCCCCGCCCGCCGCCAGCCACGCGCTCAGCTCCTCCAGGTAGAACCTGCGTGCGACCCACCACAAACACGTCTATCTATACTACTAGACGGCCTTAATACATTGCATACTAAGTTACACTCAATTCTTCGTAACTCCTTTAGTCGAATACGTACGACTAAAGTCTAGTTCTTTGTTTTGTAGCTCCTCCAGGTAGAAGCTGCGTTCGAGCCACCATCACACCCCATACAACTACACCACTTCACTTGTACAGTAATACAAAAATTTCTATGTATACTACTAGACAGCTTTAATAAAGTGCGGACTAAGTTGCAATTCTACGTAACTGCTTTAGTTGAATACGAGCGGGCGAGAAGACTTAGTTCTTTGTTTTGTAAACCGTGACCGTTGTTTTTCAATTGACGAATAAGGCTCTAACAAGCAACAAAGAGTTACCTATTCAAAAATGTTGAACTCAATTAACTGAACTGGCTTTGCGCGATTAAATTGAACTCGGATATAATAAAATTTTAGTAAATATGCTATTTTAAATGCTTTGGATTATTTTACCTTCCTATTTGCAAAGTGGGTTCGGTTGCATACACCTGCCCTTTGAATCCTGTTTCTTCAGTGATAAAAGGCAACGCCATCATGCAGGTGTAGTTAGAGATGAGGATTACATCCAGTTGTGAAAAGTCCACCACTTTGTCTAGGGGTGGACAGAACTCAGGAATACTATCCACAAATACTCGCCCACAGCATTCTTTTAATTCCTAGAAATAAAAAACAGTATCATTGCTACAATGACATCTATAGTAGATATGTGTAGAATTTACGCAAATACTACACATTAAATAAAACTAATTTTACAGCACCCATGGTCACGGATTCCCTTCACTGATAAGCGTGCGAAACATCGGGTAGTAATTTTTTTTAATTGTACACAATGAAAACCGGAGGTTTCGGAGATTAGCCGGAACAAACAGACAGACAGATAGACGGAGAGACAAAAATTTTAAAAATTGAGTTTTGTTATAACTACCGTATATACGTTCATATGCATTTAGTAAGAAGCTGTTATTTTGACATTACAAAGAGACACTTCAATTTTATTTATTTGTGTAGATTAGCGACCCGGCCACAGATTCGCAGTATTCGATTTTTTCGCGTATAATGCCAATGAACTTGACAAGACTCACTAAGATCTCCCAGTATTAGTGACTGCCTACTAATGCAAGAGCAGCAATACTGATTATTAGTTTAACAATTGGTCGATAAAAGAAAGAAATTGAAAATAACAGCACTTTTCATTGCCACTCTTTCATTAATAATGCGGTCACATGTCGCATGTTTGTTAATAGCAAAAAATGTGAAAGAGACAAGTAACGGCGCAGTGGCTTAGCAATGAGTTGCAGCGCTAAAGGCCGCGGGTTCGAATTAGTTCGAATAAGTGTTTGTATAGCCTACAAATAATTTTTCTGGGTCTGTTCTATGTATGTAAACAGCCCCCGCATTACAAGAGCAAATCCTAGTGTGCAGGTAACGTTTTTTAAAAAGAGAGGAAGAAAGACAACTAATGAAATTAAAAATGTTGTACAACCTACTTCAATAATATTATTATACCATTATTAAGGATCAGGTCAGATCTTGTATCGATTATATCGATATAGAGATTTGGTAGAGAGGTCAGATCTTAATCAAATTTATATGGGATATATAAATTATGCACCAGCTTTCAAATAAAAAAGAATCATCAAAATCAGTTCTCCTAGAAAAAAATTCTGAAGTAACACACATAAAAAAGTACATTTTTTTTGGTTAAATCTCCGATTAGGGGCGACTAAATCTAGTCCAGTATAATCCTCAGAAGACACAAGTTTGCGCTTTTAACGCTAAAAAGAACCCCTTTGTCGTATCTCCTCAATTTCAAGGCACTCCCCTTGTTGCCTCAGCCAGTATCGGAATCCTCGGCGTCGACATATCGAGTAACGTGCAGTTTCGTGGTCACTTGGAAGAGAAGGCCAAATTGGCCTCTAAAAAGCTTGGCGTGCTCATTAGAGCGGGACAGTATTTCATGCCGGCACAACGCCTGCAACTTTACAAGGCGCAGCTTCGGCCTCACATGGAATACTGTTCCCATCTCTGGGCTGGGGCTCCCCAGTGCGAGCTCCTTCCACTTGACCGCATCCAGCGCAGAGCGGCTCAATCGTCGACGACAGAGTCCTTTCCGATCGGCTCGATTCTTTAGCGCTGCGAAGAGATTTTGCATCTCTTTGCATTTTCTTTCGCATTTACCACGGGGAATGCTCTGAGGAATGGTTCGGATTAATCCCAGCCGCCAAATTTCACGAACGTACATCGCGGCTGAAGTCCCGATACCATCCACACCATCTGGATGATTGGCGGTCCACCACTGTGCGATTTAGAAGATGTTTTCTTCCTTGCACGATTTCCTTGTGGAATCGATTACCATCAGCGATTTTTCCGGACCGATACGACTTAGGGACCTTCAAGAAAAGAGCCTACTCCTTTTTGAAAGGCCGGCAACGCATCTGCAATTCCCCTGGTTCCCCTGGTGTTGCGGTTGTTCATGGGCGGCGGTAGTCACTTACCATCAGGTCAGCCGCATGCTCGTTTGCCCCTTCTCCTATAAAAAAATAGTAAGTAGGTGAATTATCTGAGTTTCAAAGCTTTCACGTTGTTCACGTTGTTCTTAATCTTAATTTTTCTCGATGTTGCATATTAACCTCCCTCACTTTGAACAACAACGTTCTTATTATCAGCAAATTATTAATACATTGCATAACACCTCGGTGTATTCTACTACCGACTAATATCAAAGGATTCTGTTACGGCCTACGGCTGCTCCCTTACAGGATCGAATCATCAGGGGTCCATGAGCTGAAGACTTCCCGAGCAGACGTAGGTCGAGCCTCAATGTGGCCACGTGGAATCTCTCTAATTACACTAAAATATATGGGGGAGCGTTATACTACGGCCACTCGACCGGAAGGTATTTGGACGAAGCTTACTTACCTATGTCCAAGGCGACTGGTCCCTCCGGAGTCGGTCAGGTTGCATGTGGTTGTGTAGTGCAAGGGAAAGATAGGTGATGTGGTGTGTATCTGGGTGTGACTGATGGTGACTGAACCTAGACCTTAGCCGTCAGCAGCAGCCCGGGCGTCGACACCGCTCCAACTTGAGGGGGCCCTCCGAGGCTTGTCCACATTCACTTTCCTTGTTCGTCACGATGACAGTCACTTAACTCTATCGTACGATTAACTAGCTTACAGAAGCCACTAACTATCGCGGGGTATAAGGTTACCGCACAAAACACGCACGGAGTTTCTGGATCAAAGGTCACTACCGTTTCGCGTTGCAACAGTTAGTTCTAGAATACAGAGGCCGCACTAGCTAATATTGTCGAATGCACTTATACAGATTCTGAGTCGGACCCAATAAGTCCCGGGGAAGCTCTCCAGTAGGGATACGCGCCACAAAATTCCTAGACCGTATTTTTACTGTCCGCGCTTAATTATTCCGAGTTCCCGCGCTTAATTGGCAGCGTGCCAATCGTGAGCACTGCCTAAGGACGACTGACTGCCCTTGGGCGTTTTTCGCACGACCGAAAGTCAAACCGGTATGAATGCACCGCGCCAAGCGCCCTCTCGCGTCAATCCTTGAAAGTGTTTGGCGCGAACAAACCCCCGTCCCGGACATAAGGATTTAGGTCCGCGAGCAAACCGATCAGCGGGACAAGGTCGCGAAGGCAAGTTGCAAGACCGAATCTACAACCAAACTAGGCCACCTTAGGCACCCCATCAGATCTTGCAACCCTAACCAGCGCCTCAAAAAATAGCCCTAATGTGGCAAGCCGAAGGGTCAGCCTCCACTGGATGACCCTCCTGGGCATCGCAGCACTTTAACAAGTCCTGTACTGGACAGAAGTCCGACGACCTCTTTCAAACACCTATCTGTGCCCCTATGATTAGTTCCGCAATCCGACCGGATCAGCTCTGCAAACAGCGACGCGACACGAAGCGGCCCCGAGCGGCCTCCTAAGCTTCAGTGCAGAGAGCACCCACAAATTCCACATGAACGTCGTCTGTGGAGAGCCGAACGAAACGCACAGATAGTCCCTAGTATGAATTTTCAACAAGTAGGCCTAGCCAGGCCACCCACCATATTATCATTTACTAAAATAGTGCGGCAGCTGATTTCAATCTGATAATCTCCAAAACTAGCTAGCCTGTTAGGCAAGTAGTCCTATGCTCATATTTCAACTAATTTTTCAAAAGCATCAATGTTCAACTACAGAATTAATTCAACCAAATTAATCACCGATGCGCATAGGTCAACTTGCAAATTAAACAAAACAATAACGTAAGGGACAGCCCTACTTCTTCGCAAAGCAAAATGATTAAACACTATCTATGTATATGTTACATAAATTTTCAAATAGCGCGCCATTCAATTTCCTTTCAGCAAACAGACGCAACAATCAAATACAGTGATTAAATATATGTACAAAACACATGCAGTAGCATTTAAAGGAGTAGATTAAATTCAATTCTTTTAATTTAAACTGCTACAAATAGGAAAATTTCGCGGAAAGCCTAAAGCAATTTTTAATTTTAATTCAAGTATTTTTTGACTAAGTGCTCGACAAACAAAAACTTAGGGGCCTGATGGCTGGCCGGCGGGCGCCGAGAGTCGCACGGCAGAGGGCGTGGCTGAGCGCCCCCGCCCGTGGGGGTCGAGGGCCTGGTAGAGCCCCGAGAGGAGACGCCGTTCGCACTCAGGCACAAAACGGCATGATGATTGCCCTGGCAATGCAGACAGGGCCGCCGATGCGGACAGTCTCGCTGGAGGTGTCATCCCAAACATGAGCAGCACCAGCGGCGCTCCTTGGCGATAGTTCGCCTCGCTGGAACCGGCTTACCTAATAATTTCGGGCACAACGTTACCCGGTGATCAGATGCTCGACAATAGGAGCAGGGGGGGTTGACGACGACTTGCCTGGAGGATTCAGCCTCTCACTGGGCACGGCTCGTAAGTCGTCAACGGTGCCCGCCGCGTTCTCTATCTGCCAGCACTGCTCCTCCAAAAACCTCAGCAGGTCATAGAAGGGCGGAAGATAGGAGGCCTCGTCCCCGCCGTACCTCTCCTCAAAATGGATTCGAAGGTCGAGAGGTAGACGGGACAGCACGATGCGGAGCAACAAAAAAGCCCATTCGCCCACTGGTAAATCCAGCCGCCTCAACGTATCACAGGCCACCAAGACTGGATCCAACAGGTCCGGACGCAGTCTGGCCCGGTCACTAAGCAGCGAGAGGCTTAGAAGCTGCTTAACATGTTCGTCCGCAATTTGCCGGACCTTGGCGTGTCTTCTGGTTAGGAGGTCCCGAGCAGTCTGGTAGGCGTCGTCCGACAATCTCAAGTGGCCAACGACGCCCAGGGCCTCCCCCTCCAGTGAGGCCAGGAGGTACGCCATCTTTTGTCACTCCGGGCGTCCACTAGGCTGTCGAAAAGACCAACGAAGGTCAGCCATTCGGAAAGGACCCCGGAGAACTTTGGCAGGTCCAGAGTTGGGAGTCGTCCCAACAGCTCCGGCTGAAGCTGCTTCAGAGAGGACTCGGACAGGTCACTCATCCGAGCTTCACGCGCCTCCTCGGCATACCTGCCTTCAGCCTCGATCAACTCGTCCGTGAGCCACAAGAACTGCTCATAGTCCGCGAAGCAGGAGTCCAGGACTCCCTTCTCCACATCCGAA